TGATCACCTGGTCCCTAGTACACCACTTCGACACACTCACCCTAGTTCCGGTACGTATCCCAAAATAAAACGCGCATATATCCATGCTCCGTGCTTTCTGTCAATCCACTAACTCTATCTCTCTTATCTCTCTCTCCTCTCCTTAGGACATAAAATCCTCCGTCCTGATCGCACACGCCGACAACGACGCCGACATCCCTTCCTCGCACGCCCAAATCCTCTTCGATGCTTTTCTGTCACCGCACCTGCCTGCCCCCGCCAAACTCCCGCCGAACCCGCTCTCGCACTCAGAATGGGAGAACTACACCCATGTGGACGCGCACTGGGAGGCCAAGCGTACAGAGGTGGTGAAGAGTATGAAGATCGAGGGGTATGGGGTGTATGAGGAGACGGAGGTCAGGGTGGTCAAGAAGGAGGGACGTAAGGTTGCTTTGTTGAGGACGGAGAGTGGGGGCCATGATATTGGAAGGGTAGAGGGTGTGCAGGACGCGATTGGGAGGATGTTTGGGTTTTACAACTGACACACTCGGGTTGTGGGTATAGAGTAAAGTGTTTTGATTGTGATATAAGTTATAGAGATGTCTACCGTTGTTGGCTTTCGATAGATCGTGTACTATGTCTGTATGTTATCCTTCCATAATCGTAACCCCGTATTACCCTTCATCCTCCCGTGCTAGACAGATCAATAGCACGACAACCTTTCAGTCGTTGACGGCATGGTACTCTTCCACCGAAGGCCGTAGGAGGTGGATGTAGTAACGGGTACTAGTGCCAGTATGTGGTTGGAGGACAAAGAAACAAAATCGAAAACAAAATCGAAAAATACATGACCGAGACAGGGGTCGAACCTGCAATCTCCTGATTCGCGTACAGTCGTAGTCAGACGCGATGCCATTTCGCCACACGGCCTGCGCCAATACTTTCCCAAAGTGGGTTCTGGCCCACGTGGCTCGCGGGTCCGGACTGGCGCTTCATTTAGGCGCTCGCCCGATATAAATGCTCTTTCGACGAAGGGAGATCAGCAGAAAGCAAAAAGAGGTTCAATTCCGGCGAAGTTCCCAGGAAAAGCAGAGGCTTGTCCGATAATCGTAAAACAGCCCGTCTGCATCAATGGACATCCGCGCATCACCTCAAGCCACATCGAGAGCCTAATACCCTCTGCCAACGGCACCTCGGTCAGGCTCGCCAACGGCAGGACAACAGGCGACACCCGCGTGTAATGCAAAGGGGAATTAACCACTTTCAAGGTCCCGAGTTTCTTCGCACGTTGGAAAGCCCGCAGAGAGAGGACACTAGGGCTGTCCGCTAACATTTTAAACCCAAGCGTGTCATCACTTGCGAATTCTAGCGTCTCGAGGTTGTAGAGCGGCCAGCGCACCTGCAAGAAAGGCACGACATCTGTCGCAACGTAGTTCGCGCCAATTCCGAGGTGACGAACGCGAGCCATGGTGGGTGCAATTCCATGGAAGAACGGCTCCAGTAGAACTTGAGAATTGAACCCACTTAGGGCATGCGGGGCATCCACTGGAAATTTACAGATGATTATCGGGTTGGTAGTACTTATTCCATACAAGCCACTAATAATAGTACAGTTGGAATTTGGAGCCAGAGTCCCTTCATAACAGACTGGTACCCCAATCAATTCTTCGCAGCCTCCTTCTCCTCTTCACTCGGGAAAGTCGCGAACGCGTCCTTGAGCTTATCAATCGGCGCAGCCAACAACCCCGCCAGGGTCTCGAAGGGAGGCTTATCAGGAGCGCCAGGGTGGGCCCTCGTAGGCGCGAACTTCTTTGTGCGCTTGAACGACGCAGACGCCTCCCGCGAGGCCTCTGCGCCGATAGCTTTCTCGAGCGCAGGCAGGTCGGTGTTCTCCTCGGAGTCGTTGTGCGGACGCAGATGGTCGATCACTTTCTTGAGGACGTTGGCGTGTTCTTGTGTGCCGGGTTGAATGGACTCGAGCTTGTGGAGGAGCTCTTTAACGACCTAGTAGGCAGTACCGGGTGGACGGTTAAGAAAATGCGGACAACGCGGGGAAAATGTCAAGGATGCCCCACTTACATGGTGATCAGCACGGTCCCCGTCGGCGAGGCGTTTCCCTTCGGCACCAAGATGTTTCTCCATGAGCGGGTACACGACAAGCTCTTCGCCAACGGCATGACGGGCGACCTCCCATGTCAGAAGCCGAGCCCAGCGACCTTGAGCCTCGGGGTTCCCTGCGTTCTTCACGTATTGGTCGTAGTATTCGTACATCTATAGGGGGAAATCAATGGGAAAAAAACGTTAGGGGCGGGGTGGAAAAGAGAAGGGAAAATATCGAGTACGGACCTCATTGTGGTCATCAGCGACGGCCTGGAGGAGGGTTGGTGTTTTTGTGGTTGCCATGTTGCGTCTGAGAGTTCGCTGCGCAAGCGTAGATCCCGCTGAAGTCCTAAGAGTTCTGGCTGAGGTGAAGGAGGAGGAGGCGACGCGATTCAGGGAACGAGAGGGATGAGAGACAAGAAACTGGAACATCTCTGGCTTTTATATCCGCTACTGCGTTATTATTTGATCGAGGAGTGCGTCATGACGATTGCCCTTTTGTAGCATAACCTTTTCCTGATCAGCGGGTTGAATAGCGGAAGCAAGAGGTGACTTCATTCCTTACGAGTAGTCTCAGTTCTCCGTTACTTGGACCAATGGGAGTTGAGGTATTTGCGAAGGGGAGATGAAAGCTCCATGGCACGAAGCTGATGATGCAATGTTATCCAACATTCGCAAACTACTTGATCGTGCTAACAGGGTCTAATGGAAGGTCTACGAGGCTTCCAGCTGAGAAGTAAATAAAACCGTATGGTGGAAAGAGAAGAGTGAAAGACACACCTTTGTGAGAACTTTGGAAGAAAGACTCCAGAAAAGAAAGGAAGCAGGATGAGGGAGCAGTTGCCACAAACACTGATAAATAATGTCCCTTCACCGTCAACCAGCGTCGTATCGACTTCCTCTGAATCTTTCTGAATCTACATCAGCCCCATGGCCAAAAATTCAAAGAAACGCAAGAATGCACCAGAGAAGGTCTCCTCGATTGCAAAGAAACTAAAACAGGATGTCCCTGATACCATGTCGAAACCGATCCACCATGGCCTGACGATCTCCGACGTCGTAGCCCAAGCAGGCATGGTTGGGGGGCTTATCTACGAGGACGAGCTCGAGACAACGACAGAGACTCTTATTACGCTTGCACAGAACCCAGCACTCATCGGCCTGAAGGTGTTGAAGCCATTCAAAACGGCGGTGCACGATTACTGGAGGGTAGCCCACGAAACGACGAACACAGGTGTGTAACATACAATCTTATCGCAGGATTTTCTGACCTACAACTACCCAGGAAGCTCCTTGACATCGCGAATATCGTCGGCGCTGATCGACAACCGCCATGTCGATGCACTTGTGCTGCTCTCTGAGATGGCCATCCGCGAGCAGTTGCCGAAGCTCGGTGCTCTTCAGCGCTGGGTGCGCGAGTGCGATGCCGTGCTTACGCCCAGTATGTCCCAGGAAGAGGAGAACCGTGTCTGGCAGGTACTCGATGCGATCCTGCGGACGACCCAGCCCGAGATGATTGCCTCTACGTCTAGCCCTCATCGGGGAGAGGGGAAGTTAAAGCAGCCGGGGAGCAAGCTGCTGTGGTTCGAACCTTTTGGCGTCGATCCTGGACTCCCGAACCCGACGAAAGGCGAGATTGCACCGATTACGTCGCCAGAGGCTCTCGAGACGTCTTTTAACGTCCTCCAACCTCTCCAAACCACCCTTGGCCACGAGCGACGCCCGCCCAATAAACATCCCATGACTATCTACTTCTCCCCACCCACCGAACCCTCTCCCTTCCCACTCCTTCCCGCCTCACAACGAATCCGCCAACCCAAAAGACATGAAGTCGTCGGAGTGCCCGGGGCCTTCATCATCAACGACGCTCTGGAGAAGAGCGAATGTGATGCCCTCGTGCGAGCTGCAGAGCGTATCGGGATGATCCCTGACGAACCTACTGCGGGGTCTGCAACGCAGCTGGCCTCGGTGCTCGCACATAATTTTGTGTGGCTTGCTGACCAGGAGTTTATCGATGGGTTGTACGCGAGGGTTGTGGATCTCTTGCCGAAGGAGGTGAATGGGGGCAAGGTGCGGGGGATAAATCGACGGTTTAGGTTGTATCGCTATCGTCCTGGGGCGCTGTACCGACCACATGTATGTGCTATTTTGGTTCTATTTTCAGCGAACAATTGATCATCTATTCTTTTCATAGATCGATGGCGCCTGGCCAGCCTCAGCACTTTCCACATCCTCAACGTCTCTCCCTACCTATTCCTATGTCTACGACTCTGATCCTACCCTCTACTCCCGTCTCACCTTCCTCATCTACCTCAACTCCTCTTCCACCACCGCCTCCCCGACCCCATCGTCACCACCCTCCATTCCGATCCCCGCAGACTTTACCGGCGGCTGCACAACTTTCTTCCTCCCCTCTGCCACCCATGGTATCCTCGAAGCGCGCCCCGTCCAGCCGCGCGCAGGGACCGTGTGTGTCTTCCCGCATGGTGCGGCACGAGGAAGCTTGCTGCATGAAGGAAGCGGTGTTATTGAAGGTGCAAAATATGTCATCAGGACCGAGGTGCTGTACGAGGTGGACGGGAGTGAACGCGTCGACGTTGGGTTCGGCTAGGTGTTAACAGGGCGAGACTAGTGGTGCTGCTCGCTCGTACGTTAACCACTCGGGTATGCTGAGAAGGTCAAAGGATCCGTAGAGACGCAGAAAATCCTTAATGCATCCTCAAGTCAGCGTTCTCTCTGGCCCTAAGGCCACTTCCTACGCCCTTGTGCCGATCGTCGGCCTCGAACTTGAATTGTTTGTTCATTCCTGAATCTTCAGCCGACGTCGTCTATCACTCCAGGCGTGGTTTCATGTTCTTCAGAAATGCATTGGGTACCTTCTTTATGTATGGCCAAGGTGGTCTCTCACGGGTCGTATAACTCGACACAAGGCGTCCTCTTCCGAAGAATTAAAGATGTCGCATCCCCATGACGCCTTTCTCCAAATAAGCGCCCGATGTTTCTTTCGAGCATGTGAATAAACGCCTCCATACTTTGCAGGGCGACCGATAGAGGCTCGCATCTGAAAATGACGTACGCGTAGAACGATATGCCGAGCATGCTGGCTACAACGTGTACACAGGTCATTTCCGCGCCTGGTGTACTTTTGCGTCTTTGAAAGAACAAGACTTGTTGGCCCCACATTTCTCATGGGGCCAAATTCGACCCTGTCCTTCACGGTGAATTGGAAAAGTGGGCCCGCAAGTCCTTCATCTGGGCCAAGGGGCCAAGGGTTTTGAACGTGGGGGGTGCATGCAATTTCACTTACGGCCCTCATTGGCCCCAAACGTCGACGCTCAGCGCACGAATGTTCTCAAAGAAGCTTCGGGAAGATCCCATGCACTGCTTCGCGAACATTTTCTACGCGTTTCTGGCCCCATGCGCGACCACGGCCTTTTTTCCTTCCACTCCCTAACGCCCTGCGAGCATAGGACTCTCCTTGGAAAGTTGGATATAAGAGAGAGTTCGTCTCTTCTCTGTTTTTCTACAAGCTCCTCTTTCTCAACATGGATCATTCCAAAGATACAAGCTGTCTCGAGGTGCCAAAACCGTCGGCCTCCAGGACCGAATGCTTGATGGATGGTGCCACTCTAGCCTGCGGTCTCCTCAAACATGTCGGGTCTATATCCTCAGTCCCCGTTTTGAGCGAAGCTACCGGTATTGCACTGCAAATGCTCAAACTAGCTCAGGTATTTCTTCCGCACATCGGCTGTTCGTAATTCAAGGTCACTCTCCTTACGCATGACAGGACGTCCGGGGTAACAGAGACGCTCTCATATCGCTCAGGGAGGATGCCTATAATCTGATCAACGCGACTGAGATCGAATGTCGCAATATCGAGAAGTCAGGAGGGGAAATCCCGGACAGACTGAACCTCCATATCTGTCACCTTCTCCGGTGAGAGACTCTGCATCTAGGACCATGAGTAATTCGCGTCGACTGACATGAGCTTAGAAATTTGCTCGAGATCAAGGACTTTACAAGCAAGAAAGTCAATCAGCGCTTAATATCCCGGATGCTTCACTACAGGAAAGACAAAGAACTTATCTGCCGCTATAGAGAGATCCTTCGACAGTCTTTGGACATATTCTGGGTAAGGAATTGAGTTCTGCACTGAAAGTTATAAGAGATGCTTCCTGACATGAGGGATAGGTCCAATCAATCCTCACGCGCACGGTGGAAGATTGCTTGCGCCGCGTTCTCCAGGCCGTTGATGGGCTGCAAAAAGGGAAAATTGTGAGCCCACCTCAGAGATGATCGTCCATCTGCCCGCTGGAGTGGGCCTCAGTGTCCCGAGCAGGTCGCTGGCTCAAAGGAACGTCGTGGTATGAGATGATGAGTGCTACGTACACGGTACGAACTTATATTAGTTATCCTTGTAATAGCGGGCCTCGGTTTCCATGAATCTAAGTTCAATGTTCACGCCGCACGTACCAAATAATTACTGCCCTTGCGGCGACTCGGTCCAAGCGAGTCTCAATGCTCAGAATATATATATTTTTAAAGACAGGATGCTATGATTAAACATAGGGTCCTTCAATTTTCACCAGCGTCTCGTGTTTTCATCCCTCTTCTACAAGCACTGTGTTCTTGCCGTCTTCGAGCGCCAGAGTGCTAGCGCCATGATACCCCGAAGACTGACCATCCTCTTCCTCGTCCTCCTCACTCTTCTTATCGCAGAGGTCGGCGCCCGTCGTCTGCTCAACACTGCCAAAGTTATCAGAAGGCAAGATGTCACTGTCAACTCCACCGGACTGCTCACGAATGCCGCTCGTATGGCCGTTGGACTTGGGCCCAGCAAGCCCCAGTCGTGTCATGGGTGGGTTTCTCTGCACTCGCGCCCTAGGTAAGCCGTTTCTAAAAATAACTTTTGGTTTCAAGACTGGTGAGATTCAGAATCCCTTAGAAGGAACCAACTTGCACGTCTGGCATATCACGCTATAGAGTACTTGAGTATGTTTAGAAAACGCTTAGATCTTCAACCCGCCTGACATCATCTCAGCCAGCTTATCGACTTCATTTTCCGTGATGCCAGTCCCCGTTCCGTTCTCATTACGAGTACCCTCGGAGATCTCCGCCGTAACCACAAACCTATCCTCTCTCTCCTTGTCTACCTGGTCTTTCTGGACGTCATCCCCATCCGATGGCTCCTCAATAAATACCTTGCCTCCGCGTTCCTCAATAATCTTGATGACGTCCTTCAAGTGGTTGCCACTGGTATCTTCCTCCTCTTCGAGATCGTCATTCAGTGCGAGGTCCGGTCCAGGAGCGCCAGGGCTGGAAGATGGGTGTTCAAGATGGACCTCAAACGTGCGAAGTGCGAGTTGTTAAGGTCATTATTTTCCAGTAAGACTGTTTCAAGATCCGGGTGAGGTGTCGAGGACAGAGATTCGATTATCTCAGAGCCGCCTTCCGCTGTGAGGTTGGCGTCTGATAGGTCAAGGTACTCAAGGGAGGTAGACCGTTGGATGACGTCCGCGAGGACATGCCAGCCCCTAGCCGAGTTCGTTCCGTCGAAATTATGTGCTGTGCTATCGCGGAGACTGAGATGTCGAAGATCGTGGCAGCTTAAGAGACCCTGTGCGATTGCAAGGACGCCATCCTCACGGAACCCATTGTTGACCTGCGCATAGCAGAGGAAATCGGGTTTTCAGGATGCCTCAACCATCCAAGATCCAAGTATTACTCACCATCTTGACCTTCTGCACATTTTTATGCGCCGCCAATACCTCGCCCCACAGTGGCGCGCTACCATCCTCCAATCTGTTTCGTCCACACACTACGACACGTAGCTTGCTTCCTTCCGAGTCGAACTCATTGGCCGCTTTCCGGGCATTATTCAAAAGCGCACTAGCTACGATCCGCCCTCCTTCTGGACCGAGACCGTTGTTATTCAGTTTCAGGACTTGGATACCCGTATGCCCTGAGAGTAATGGCACGAGAGTAGGTGCAACGCGACTCCCGAAGGCATTGTCGCTGAGGTCTAGCTCCACCAGCCGAGAGCATGTGAGGAGGGCGTCGCAGATGGCGGAGATGGCGGGTGGGACTTCATCGATAGTGCGAGAAGTGATGATGTCCGAGAGGTGCGCTACCTGGAGGATTTCAAACCCATCGATATCCTCGCAGGTTCGGTGAACCAACCACTTACTTGAAGTGAAGGCATCTTCCTGATTAGTTCGCCCAATTCCTGGCCTGCGGCTGCACTGATCGTGTTGCCCGACATGCGTAGCACCTCTACTTGATCCAGAGCAACATCTTGGAAGAGATCTCGAACTTCCTGTGCTGTATCAAGCTTCAGCTGACGATGCCGAAAGTCTAGGACTCGGAAGTTGGCCATTCCTGATGTCGGAGAGCACACTGTTCAGTGTCGAGCTCAAGGCTGGAGCTTCTGAGAGGCTGGAGTGAGGGTGTTACACTGCTGGGGGTTCGAGTGAAGTTATGGTCTCCATTATAATTGAAGTTCGCGTGTAGTTTTGAGGATTTCTACCACGTGGACGGACCCACACCGGCGCTCAACCTTATCGGGTTGATCGATGGATCGGCGCACGGTTCTTTGGGATCCCGGGAATGGGCGCTTATTGTCGGGACATGCTGAAATCGCTCACCGTAAGTACGTATGGCCTTTGAGCTATCATTACCCAAGGTAAGAAGTTCGGGGAGGTTTCAAGAAACATGGCTTTTGTCCGGGCCCTCTAGCCCTTTAGTGGATGATTTGCGAGCGAAGCGAGCAAAAATCCTCCTAGCGAGGACCATTCGGCCCTCGACATGGCTCTCAAGGAGAGTGGAAGATGAAGCAATACATCGGCAGATTTGTTTTTATTATGAGTCGTCTCTATGGAGTGCTACGTAGCTAGGTGGGTGTCTATGCAATGGGGGGGCCTCGATTATGGCGCTATTGGAGGCTATGTATTTGAGTCTATGGAATGCTACGTAATGCCCTATAGTTCCCACTGCATTCAAGCTTTTCGAGGCCAAAAATCCGAAACTGCTAATGTACGTAGTCCGAGAAGATTGAATTTCTTCTGAACAAATAGTAAAAATGCCTAAAAATTCAACGAAAGAGTCGTCAATTGCTCACTCGGCCCTTACGCGCAAAATATGTATATCCGTGTCCTTCGCGTCCTCCGTGTAGTCCTTCGCCAAGCCGGGCAGAGGTAGCGGGCCGGGTCTCCGCGTTACTTGCTTATGTAACCGCCCTCGTTTTCACCAATAATTTCAACAGATTCAACCTTCCATCTCTCCTCCGCCATCGAACATCAGGCGCCCACTGTTCTCTTATTGGAACTCCTAAATTCTCTGGATAGGTATCGCGACTTTCGTAACTCGATCGAACACCGACGACGACGAGCAGTCAAGCAGGGGCCCAACTTGAAGCTCTCTACGCGTTTCAGGATGTCGAAGGCCTCCCAACGCGAAGGATTGTCGTATGCAATTTACACCGCACTCAATATTCCGACTGTCACCGCGCATCCGTCACCAAAATGTATTCAATGGTCACCAGATGGACAGCTATGTTTCACAACGAAGAACGCCGCATATCTCCTCGTAGGCGTCTTACGCATCTTGCATTCCGCCTTCCTCTTCATTAAGCGCCATTTCGATTCAATAGACCCCCGACCATGGTATCAACTTCGACAATGACTCCGTCGTTCGTTCGACGCCGAGCAAGGATGACCCAGCGTTGGGATGGTTTAAAACAATGATTCAAACGGACAAGAGCTCGCCGATGAGATGGCCTGATTATTCTCAAGGTGCGTTTTTAGCACGAAGATCCCGTCAAACTCTACTGGACATGCGATTCCGCAGTCTGGGGTGCAGTTTCGCTGGGTTCAATCGACATGGCTCTAATCTCCGTCGCGATATCGCCGAGTGGATTGTCTGCATACGGAGGGTGCGTTTTCAATCCAATTTCTTTTCTCCGCTGACTGAGCAGCTTATAGGTGCATATTTGCAACTCTGACGTCGAACATGGACCTCAACCTGTGGACAGCAACGAAGAACTACTTGAAGGGCGAATGGATCAAGGTCTGTCTCCACCTTACACTTTTAACCTCATAGACGACAACTTTTGTCCTTTTTCTGCAGTTTAGACTTTCGAAATTGCGCCATACCTGTTAAATATCATCGCTCCGGACGATGAGGACAAGATCGACCCTACCGTCGTGTTGCAAGCCCAGATCGTCTGTACGTGGTACTTTCGTGATTTCTATGCGTGTTTCAATACTAACGTTAGTGCGCTTCAGGCATCGAATGGACACCACAAGTCGATTTTGGAATAACGCCTACGCCCTGCCTTGACGCATCTTTGCTCGTTCTTGGGAGTCGGGCTGGATATCTCACATTCTTGAGATATCGAAAAGGAGAGGAGCCGGAGTATGTTGGCACGCTTTGGGTCGCCCAAGTATGGATTACACATGTCGCATTTGCGGGTTGGAACATCATCGAACCAGGACATTGTAAGTCGCGACCTTCAACCCGCTCTGAATACGTTTTAACTCGTGTAGATAAAGGACGGTTAGCGTACGGCACCTCCGACGATACCGTTGGCTTCGTCAAGATCACTCAAAAACTCCGCCTTATCGCAGATCGATTTTCGTTTGTACCACGATACACCATCGAAACGACGTTCGAACAGGAGGACGAGCAGGTTTACGGCCTGCATGACAACAAAGGCATGACTAGCACGAGATGGGTACTCGTACCAGGTCGATCTGTATGGTCTTTCCCCTTTTTCCTCCCTTCACATTGACCCGGTTCTCTCATAGCCCATCCTCGTCTCGTCAAACCCAGGCCTCATCAAGCTCTGGTCCGCGTCATCTCCGACCTCAACCTCAACCTCTGAACCCCAAAACACCTACTGGACAGGCCAACACACCCTCCGCCTCCAAACTCAACGCACCTCGCTTGACTCGTCTGCCTTCCACCCTTTATCTGGTCTATGCTACTTGCAAAGCTCGGACACCCTAATTATGAGCCTCTGGGACGGCTCCTTCCATGCCATACGGGAATTTGGGTTTGCGGGTGACGGAGGTCCGAAGTGGGGTTCGAGAAAGGATACTGAAGCTGCGACTGAGGCTATGGATGGTGAAATAAATGCCCCAGGATTGACGTGTGAAGGTCTCTCGGCGGTGGCGAGGACGATGTTCGAGAGGTCGGAGAAGGAGAGCGGTATCAACAAGTTGGACATGGTCCGTGTTGCGGGTATGATGGGGTATGACGGGGCTGGGGTTATGGGTTGGGTTTATGAGTAGGTTTGGTTGCCTTAACCTCTTAGTACCCATGGTGCTAATTTATACATGCCTTTAGATCGACCCTTCCGTCGGACTTCAGCTACAAGCACGATGCAAAACACAACGAGATGCTCGTCGTTGCACGGGTATGCGAGCAGGCGATAAATGACGACGAGCTGCTCTCAAACCTGTCTACTCTCTTGAACATGGCGAAAACATGTATGTCTTACACCTTCTTGTCCTTGATGCCTTGCTCTTACCATCTCTGATTATGACAGCCTCTGCAATGTCTCCGCTGAACCTCCTCCGGCCAACCCTCCTGCATCTCCGGAACCCTGTGCTCGTCCAACGTGTGCATACGCGACTGCTCGAGATCCTGCGGCCTCCTTGCATCCCTCCAGGCTCCGGTTCTGATCCAGCAAACCCAGTGGTGCCAACGCTCCAAGATGCCGACGAGCTCACCTTCACTCTTATGGAAGAAATGCGTGAAGAGTTCAAGATCGCACTTCGTACGCATCTTTTTGGCTGGGATGAATCGCTTGGGTTGAGAATGAAGCTTTCGTTGGCTGATTTCGCTTGGGTGGGTGTGAATTTTGCTCTCTTAATTTCATTTGTCGTACTCAGAGCCTAAAACTGACGACCATTACGAGTAGAAATTGGCCGCCAATGAGACGAACCAAACGGAGTGCGGCGTCGTCGCTCAGGCTCTTTTGAGCTCGATCAGCCAAAAGGTGTTGAGGACGCTCATTCGGCATGTCACCGCTGTGGTTGGAGCTCTGACAGGTTCGCATTAATTCTCTTCGGGGTCCTTTTTGTGGCGCTGACACGCGTCAAATGTATGCGTCATCTAGCCGCCGACCTGCCCTTTGTCTCACGTCTCGTCGTACAGTCGATGCTGGCAGGCTCGCCAGCGGACATAACGGAAGAGGGCCGGCAGCTGTCGCTCCTTGTCAGGCCGATCATCCAGGCATCAAAATCCGGTACCACAGAGGCAACAGGGGGAAAAGAGCAAGCACAGGCGGAGGCGTCAGATGAGGACATCGTCAAGCTCCTGTTAGAATCCTGTCCTGCCTGTGGCGTAGTGGTGCCGTTGGAGGACATAACGAGTGCGAGGTGTGGGGGCGGGCATACTTGGGGTATAGTCTTCCTTCCATTACCCTTGATCCGATCTCATTGAATGAATCTTTTCGATATCTAGCCCGCTGCTCAGTGACGACCTTCATCCTCTGCACGCCATGGGTGCGGACGTGCGTCGGGTGCAGTCGGAAGGCATTCCTCCCGCCATCGGCCATGGCGCAAAGGAATAAAAAGGTTCATGACGACGATGCTGGGGCTGTGAACACTAACTTGAAGTCTAACGACCACTTACCCTCTGTGGCGAGAGGGTGGGTCGTCGAGGAGCTGTTGGAGGCCGTGCAGAGGTGTTTGTTTTGCGGGAATGCCTTCGTTGGGATACTTTGAGGTTTCAGTGCAGAAGTTATTCTTGTAGACTTGGGATCAATTGTCCTTTTGGCATCGTGGGTCGTGGGCGTCTAGTTGGCGATGCATCGATAAGTAGTGTACGTCTTCGATCCCAGTAATCGGTGGAGTAGGATGATCTGATATCGATGGACCAACTTCATGGTCAGCAAGATTAAGAAAAAGATTGAGATTCGAAAACAGCTGTGTCAAGGATACATATTGGATATTTGAAGTCGAATAAGGGATTGGGAAACTTCCACTCCTGCCTGCCTGCATAGCGTAGGGAACCAGTGGACCGGGGCTGAAGCTGAGGGATGACAAGCACGTCTAATATCCAACGGAAATGAGATAATCTGCGAGGTTCTCCACGATGGGAGTGACCTCCGGCGCCTGACAGGGCGCAACATATTCGGTGACGAGGACCGCCTGCTTCGTCTTCACGATGATCGCGCCGTCGGCCTGCACGAATCGAAGTCATGGGGCGATTAGAGATATGTCGTGAAGGTGGTAACAGTGGTGGGACATACCGCCTTCTTGGCCTGGATGGTCCGATCACTAACCGACAAAGTGAAGAACTTTTGGCCTGCCAGGCGCACGCCGTTTGCTTGCACCGAGTCGGGTTTCGAGAACCCGTCGACGATGGCCTTCTGCTCTGCGGGCGAGAGCTGGACGAACAGTCAAGAAAAGATAACCTATTTGTCAGCCTTTCCGCAACTGAACATAAGTTTAAAGCTTCCTACGCACTGTGTATCCAGAGCTGGAGGCCCACACGCCTCCCTGCAGACCGATGATGGCAGCTTTGGCGATCTTTCCGCTGCCGAGGAGGTTGCTGTCGACGTAGGCTGTACGATAGGAATTCGCGTCAGATTTTGCTGATCAACACACACCGTCTGACGCTCACTTTGCCAGGACATTGTACGGAACGCGAACTTGGGTCGTCGAGGTGGTCGATGTAGTGGATGGAAGGATGGAGAGAGGCGTTGGTAGAAGACTAAGATGCTGCCTATTATGTAAATCTCGGAGATATCCAGATAAGATCGCTTATAAAATTACGTCAGTAATCCTGCTTACTGAAAACGGAAATTAAATGAGAGATGAAATGGATTCGTCAATGCTAGGGCTGATTGACGTGGACAAAGGCACGTACGTATGCGAATTTTTGCGCAGATCATCCCTGCCTAGAGCTGTCCAGAGACTAAGACTAAGGTAACCAGTTTATGCAGGTCCTTTCTCATTTTTTCCCCAGATTTTCCAAGGTATCGTAGAATTGAAATTAAATCCTAGGTATAAAATACTGGCAAGCCACCCGAGTTTTATGTAGGAATCAAGATAAGTAGTTGAAGGAAAGCCTGAGGAAAGCTCTTGTTTAAAGTTAGAAGGTGTGGGAACAATTACGTAATTAATACCAATGATTATCCGGACCGACATGACCCAACACGAATCTCTTCCTCTCTTTACGTTCGCCACCATTCCTGCTACCTCCCGACCCTATGCCACCAAGGCGAACATGGCACCCGGGGGCAGCTTGGAACTCAGGCTTACAGTTCGCTATGAAGGCCTCAAGGCCACCCAGTACTTTGCCAAATTCACATCCGAGTCGGACAAGGTTTTTCGGGACGATTTGCTTGCTCTCAAGTTGCCCCATCCAAGGATGGAGCACACGAATTTACTGAGCCATGGTTCTGTTGAATGCTTCTGGGAGTCGGTTCAAAAAGATGGGGTACGTCGTCGATCGATCATAGAACGCCCCAGTCAGCTGCTCACTCGTTATTCTTTTCGCCCCAGGCCCTCCACCAGCAACTAGTAAACAAGGCTCTACCATCAGATAAGGAAAATCAAGTAATTCTCGCGGAAAACCTCAAGGATTTATCGATGTAATTATCCTCCGCCTAGTTGTCATCCACAAGGTCTAATTGACGCGTGTTAGTGCAAAACTTACTGTGAAGCAACTGTACGATTTACTTCCGTTCTCTTCCTCCGTGTATCATGAACGCTCTGCTCAGAGATTACCGGAACCCCAATAACAGCGCAGCGATGAGGAGGCAGAACCCGCCCTCTCAATACTCTCCTTCGTCTATCACCAAGAGACCATTCCCCTTTGGCCGGTCCCCAAACCCAGTAGCGAACCCCGGACTCCCTCCGCGTCCAGCACCACCAAAGTCTCATCCCGAGGACGTGTTCCGTACCTCGACAAACCCATATTCTCTCATTTTGGACAACGCGTTCCCCGACAGGCCTTCAACACCCAACCCATACTACGCCAAGCCCCCCTACGGCGCGCCAGACATTACAGCCCCAATTTCCCCCATGAAACGCCCTTCTTCAGATTGGCCGGGCACCGCGCGAACAACGGCGGGTCAATCCGGACCTTCCTCGCTCAAGCGGCCTCATGCAGCTATTTCCAACGTGCAACAGGGTCAAGGTTCCAGCTCGTCTAAACGGCTTAGTAGTGAGATGGACTGGGAGGACTGGCAGCAGCTCGTGTCTGATAAGCAGAAGGTCCTAGACTGGCGTTCGTCTAACAGTGTGATGGATCTGAATATGGGGAGACCGATCAAGGTGGCAAAGACGCATGCTGGTTCGTTCGAGTTGCCCAAGGTGCGTGTTTTAACACGAAAGTGACTTTTCACTCGCTAAATGCATTCGCTTGGGGCGACAGAAGCCTGTGGTAGACGTTCCGCCTCCAAACAGGGCGATATCGCCTCTTCCTCCTCGGACGGCCAAATTGCCAAAACAGCCAGTCGTCGAGCAGCCACCAAGCCAACAGGCAAGCTCGGTTAAGACACAAGCGAGCGGACCTGACCCGCCTTTGGCCGCGCCCTCCGCGTCGGTACAGAAAGCCCCAATGTCGTCGACTCCATCGTGGCCAAGAGCAGATAGGGTAGATGATCCAAGGGTTACGAGCCAACGAAGGCTTAGTTCTGGAGCCGTTCCGAGCGCTTGTGCCGTCGCACCTACACCGACGCAAAAATCGGTCCCATTGGCGCCTTCGACGCCTGCACCTTCACCCATCCCGGCCCTAGCGTCGACGTCGAGGGCGCGTACGATTGTGGTGCCTATGCGAGGAGGACCGAGGCCTGCACCGCGGCGTCCCCTAGCGCAAGTGACGAGGGAGCAGACGCGGGAGATTGCCTCGGCGAGTGCGACCACGGATGTTGTTGTTCAGAGCACACCGTCGACGTTCAAGGCGACGCTAGCGCCAATGTCGGGCCCTCAGCCGCCAATTGCGAGTACTACCATTGGTGGAAACGCGGAGGCTGCTCCTGTGAAGGTCCCACCAGTTGATCTCGGTCATAAGAGGCCTGTGCGTACGAATTTTTCTAGCCCTCTCATTGAATCCTGCCACAAAATTGTTCTTATTTTCAATAGCACATCGAACAGGCGGACGCGCGAGCTTTGGCGTTGAAGATGGCGACGAAGGCGCATGAGCCCCCCGCTCCTGCTCCGACAACAACCACTACGCCTTCGTCAGGTTCTGCGCCTAGCCGGGTACGGCTCTTCTTTTTCCTCTTCGTTCTAATGCTTACAAGGAGTCCGTTTAGCCTGTAATGCCTGCTCAACACCCTGTGGCTAGTGCTCGAGTTGCGACCACCTCTTAAACCTGCACCCACCATCCAATTACCGCAGGGTTTGTCGATCACACAACCACCTACCCCTCCAGCGACAGTCATAGCACCTCCAACTCCAGTGAGCCTTACCAAACCTACCCCTCCTCCCGCTGTGCTGGCCAGCGCAGCGAGCGACGCTTCTATGTCAATCCGTGTAAAGGAAGAACCGATCGAAGTGGAAATGCTGCCCCCTTGGACGTCACTGATTGAACCTTCCGCCCCGGTATATATAAAGGAAGAGGTTAATACGACATCCTCGCTCTTCCTCGACAGCACGGCGACCGAAAAGAGGACTCGCCCTTCACGTTTCGCACAACTGGTTGAGGTGTGTGCAGGGTCTGTTTTACGTTATTTTTAGCCTTGCCTCATGTCATGCCCTTTTATAGCCCTCGCCCCTACCTACTCCGCCACCTTCCGCCGAATCTCTACACCCAACAGAGGCAACATTAACGACAGCGACAACACCCAAAAGGACATCGCGCTTTGCGGACAAGACAATGGTTCAGCAGACCGGGCCGGTTGCCGGGCCACCAGGAGCCACAACCAATTTGGGAGATAGTGTGGCCCAGTCGTCGATTGTGATTGCGGTGCCTCCATCTCCGCCTATTTCTTCAACATCCCCACCAAACGACCCAGAAAGCCAACCACTACCCGCACTGTTGCGCGACCAGACCACCGAACGCTACGCTCACGAACACACCCACGCCTACGAGAGCTACGAACGCGAACACAGGAATACTGCGGAAGAAGACACCATGGCACGCGGGATAGCAAAGCGTACGACCAAGCCCTACGGGTCTCATCAGAACAACAACCACCGACGTGAGCGCGAGGATTCCTCGACGCGAATCCAGAGCCTTATGCGCGATTCCTGGTCGATCAAACGCGAAATTACCGCCTCTCTGGAGCGCGAGAAAGACGTTATCAAGGAGCTGAAATCCCTTGACTCGAAATCGATACCTGCGCCCTCGCGCCTGTGGGACGCGAAGGACGATGCACGTGTACATGATCTGCGCAACCGCCTTAATAGTGCCGAGGGAGAGCTCGAGGAAGAGAAACGCCGTGTCTGGGTCATCGACCGTGCGCTAGAGCAGGAAAGGGAGCTTCGCTTCGCCGTCGGCCGCGAGCTCCTAGATGCCAACCAGCGGATGATGGAGCTCGAGAGGGAGTTAAAGGAGGAGAGAGAGAAGCGGCAGCTCGCGGAGGACGCGATTATGGATATTAGAAGGGAGTGCAGGGAGCCGTTCGTCGTCCCGAGCTTGGTCGATGCCTACTTGCAGATCTCAAAGTTGACGAGCAGGGCGCTGAAGGCGGCGGCAGAGAGGAAGGCAGCTGAGAAGGCGGGTGTGCAGGCTGCGCCTACTGCTGGTGGCTCTGGAGCTTGTGATGATTGTCTGATGACTGGCATCGATGTTCAAGAAGTCTTGAGTGGCACTATAATGTCGACGGTCTTGACGACAGACCGTTCGCCTCAAGCGAACCAGGAGCTCCTTGCTGAGGAAATGGATTTTTCTGATTCTTGAAGCATCCACGTTCAATTTTTCTTTATGGTCTATATTAGTTATTTGCATAGCATAGGCATGAATTCCTGATTATATACTTTTCCATATTTTCACATCACGACTACTCTGTCGGAAATTTCCAAATTGCCTTACAAGGAAGACGCCTTACCAAGGCATCACAAGAAGCCGAAAAGCCGTTTCGGCACCTTACAAGGCAGTTCGAGATAGGGGTGTTCAACAAAATCCTTCATTTTTCCGCGACTGTGAGGAATATTAGGGAAAAAACAGTACCAGAGGTATGTGTCAGATGTACTTCACCTGTTTATACCACTTCCAGAGCGGCAGGATGAAATTTTTATTGGCCTAACTAACTCTTGTAATGCGTTGTAAGGCAAATGTCTGCCGTCGCTAATAATGCCTTGTAAGGCATTTCGGAAATTTCCGACATCTTGTCCGCTATGTATCATCTGTACAAAAAAAGAGGCATATGTACAAGCATTACACACATTGCGACAGCGCACTTTGATTTACGTGTATGCTACGTCTTTCTATTTACTCGTCTTCATCTGAGTACACCCAATTTTCAGTGAGATTTTTCTGTCGACGGAGAATATCCGGACAGCGCGTCTCGTCTCCAGCGGGGTAACTGTGTTGTGCTTACACGATTTCATCCTACCAGCTCAGCGTTAGTACGGCAACTTTTAACCGGAGAAAGAAGGGCATTTCTCACAGCACTTGCATCATCGAAAGATTCTGTCGATGATATTTTCGACTCAATGTATCTGAAGACCCAGAACACACCATGAACCAGACCTCTTGGGTCTTCTGATGCTCTTTGATTGACCCATTCCTGTAGGGTGGCATTCGAAGCCCGAATGTTGCTTAAGGCGAAATGGATGGAGGAAATTATAAGTAGGAGACTTCCTGCGGTAGCTGAGTTAGCAAACAGTGTCTCCCATTCATCTAGGGATACATAGTGATGAAAGTCTTAAAGTACTGAGTCTGATACTTCCGGTGAGTGTCGATCGTCCAATTCAACCAACGATGCAAGAAGTTCGTACTCACCGAAGGAGCGCTGGTATCAATTCCGTCTATACTCCGACCCCGAGCACAATCTATCACCAAAGACACCTGTCCGGCTATCACGCTAGGCAGCTCCTTGACCCCACAACGGATCGTGAAGCCGATCGGTGGCAATAGGGAGTAATTCTGAATGCCAAATTTGGGAGAAACTGCTATTTCTGGAAGGAGGTGACCGGGACCAGCCGCCGGTCCGCAAAAGGATCTAATTCGCTGAGAGCACCGCATAGGCAGGTTGTGGAGACAAAGTTACTGGTGCATAGTTTTCAAAGTAAATATTCTTAACTTTTGGGTTGCCAATCATCCAATGGAGGATCTCAAAGTCTTGCCAATTCAAGCTGAATGCCTCGATCAACCGCAAATTAACCGTCACATAAGTCCCCAGTGGCTCCGGAAGCAGCCATTTATTTCGTAGCATCTCCACAACCGACTCATTAGTTATTGGTTCAGGTAAATATCCTTTTTGATGAACGAGAGAAGTGTGGAGTCCAGAACTTCGCATTCGTTGGGCACATGCTGACGTTCTGAGGCTACCATTATCCATACCAATAAACTGACCATGTCAAATAGACAAAATCTCACGCTAACTTAGACATAAAGCGCCTTAATATTCAGGAGGAAAACGAAAGTTGAGTTGGTAATATCTTATTGAACTCCATGTTCACGAAGAAGCCACCTAATTCTTCCAGACATGCTGCTTGATGGATCAATATTAACGGGAGGTCTGCATCATCGAAACAGCTAGTGTTACGGAAGAAATTTTACAAACCCGGGAGAACTTGGCTCTGAGCGTCTCCAGATTATCATAAATAGGTTTACCGTTTCGATGTCGAGTCTTGCACCAGCCCTGGTTTTCTTGGTGCATGTCATGAATTTCAGAAATATCAGAACAAATGTAAGGGCGGTGTGTAGACTTTAGAGACGTTCAGCATGTATGTATGAGCGACTGACATTAGATTCTCCCAGCCCAGGAGGACGGTGTCCCGGGCCTATCCGTCAACTTGTGGGGACGGAGCACTGATATTTATAGATCGAAGCGTGGGCGCAGAAAGGAAGAAGGCATATGCACTTGACATAGTGTTAAAACCTTGCCCCAAGGGACGTTCGTTAAGCCTGGCATGGTCCGACCTCGTATATAATTTCAAATTGTTGAACGAGATCGAGTCGCTTGCCACTATCGCGTCGTGGACAATTACGGGCGGCCCGATTGTTAGCCCGCTGGAGGAATACGTTCTAAACAATCGATATGGTCTTTGTCTAGAACCAGGACAATTCTAATTGGAGGACCTGTCCGTAGGGACTATGGGAGGTGAGAAAGAAAAGAAAAGATGCTCAGGAATCTGGACGTGCTTCGGTCATGATACACACGTGATACCATCAGAGGTCACCCCACCTATCTCCAACCAGATAATTTTTCTCCTTTACACCAAAATATGTCGCCCCCAGACGTCGCATCCTGGATTCCAGGATGCACTTTCGGAAACCGATCAGGATCGCTGTCTCCAAGAGGACTATGTTAAGCAGGTCGGTTATTTCCCCTTTGTCCTTGTCAAACAGCTCATATATCGTCTGGACAGGGTTTAGCTATATTTTCTAGGGAAATGTTCCCAGCGATGGCCCACAACGGACCTCCTGATGCGGCGGCGGTCGAAGCCGCACTCTCCCTCAAGGAGGAGCCGGAACGGATGTTACCTGAAATCGAGAAGAAACTGGACGACATCGCCATCAAAATTCGAGACTTGAAGCTGGCGCAGGCAAAATTATCAGAAGAGGCCCAGACACAACAGGCGACGCTGAATGGATGCTGGAGAGTCCTCGCACCCATAAGATGCGTTCCTATGGACATTCTCGCTGAAATAGCCCGGCACTCGCTCCCCTTTCCTTGTCTCACACCCCGTGGAGGAAGGCGGTATTGTTCTCGCCTCGGTTATGGTCGACGTTGGGCATGAAATTTGACGAGGATTCTTGGACTTCATACTATGGCCGATTCATTTGGCTTTGGATCGAGAGGGCAAAGACTGTCAATTTGAAACTCCATCTCCACTTCGAACGTCCATCGCTGCATAGAAGTCATGCGCATAAATTTGCTTCCGACCTGACCGACATTATGCTTCGAGTCGAAGATATTACACTTGCGGCACACCGGAGTTCTTCAATTATGGGTTGGCTTGGGGAGGTCAATTGGATATTGCCTGAGCTCAGAACTCTTTTCCTTTCGACCGACGTTGAAGTTGTTCCTACCTACTTTCCCCCTATCAGGAGTTCTACGCAACACTCGATATTCTCCCCTGGTCCCAATTAACGACAGTTGCGCTCAGCGAAGGCCTCTCGATACTGGACTGGGTTCGCATCATGGAGCTCTGCGGGCAAATGACAAAAGGGACCTTCTTTGTCCAAAATAGCCATCCTCACGACCTAACACTAATGAAAGGTCAACCCAAGCGCACTCACGCAAACCTCGAGATACTCACCGTCTCCTTGGGTACTGTGCGCACCCACGCTCCCATACCCATTGTTCGCCTGCTCAGTTTATTCGACTTCCGAAAATTGCGCCACCTGCATATCTCGCATGTCCGGGTAACGAGCATGTACGGGGACAAGCCTGCGGGTACTTTCGCCGAGTTCTCAAACCTCGAATACCTTTCCCTCGGCGGTAGCACCCCAGTCGCCAACATACTCGACATCCTCCACGAAACTGCTAACATCCGCACGTTCAAGTTCCGTGCCAACCCTGATACCAGCGCCGATTCAAGTGCCACATTTAAAGCCGTGTCATTCCTCGAGTCGACTATCCTCCTTCCGAAGCTCGCCACTCTGGAGATTGCGTTGCGTGGCTTGCGGCCTGAAGAAGACATGAACCTTTTGGTCCGTATGGTGGAGTCGAGATGCATCCGCGTGCCGAGCGGTTGTGTTCTCCTCCAGCATCTTGTCCTCGAATCGGCTGTTACTGAAATCTTGCAGGAGCTAGAGAAGCGTCTCGAACCATGTCGGACGGCTGGTCTCAAGATATCTTCGATTTAGCTTGAGGTCTGCTCTTCACGGGGGCCCCGGGGTTGGGGAATTGAAGTGTATTGAAAGTGAATGTGTATGCATACTTACTGAAGTTCTTTGTTTCCCTTTTATTTTGCTTTCAGTTCGCCCCTGAGTTGCGCGGAGCGACTTGAAGATTGCCTCCAGCAATTTTGGAGGTTGACCACTGCACAAAAATCTTGGGTTTGGACCGAGACGAGGGTGTAAGCCATGCTGGAGTAATCTCGGCGCTCAGAAATGAGCGATATCTCACCTCAATAGGCCTCACTTGTTATAGTCGCGGTATCGCTCAATCTGTTTTTTTTCCTGCCCCTCGTTTACATAATACAGCTGACTTCGTTTTGTTGCTCACCCTCTCTCAACTCGTCAACGTTTCAACATTCAACATTCTGATCATGACCGAAGTACTTCAAATTCAAACTCCGTCCATCGTCCCTTTGTCCTTTACTTCCATCATCGAGTGCACTTCGCCAAAGTGCCAACCCCCCTAAAAGGCCTCCATGTTTCCGCCGACTGCAACGCTTATCTCAAGACTACCGCAAGACGCCCTTTATGAAATTTTCTCCTTCATTGCAGTCCCCGTCCTCCAGACGACACCTGGATGGGAGCCACAGGTGACATTCCCCAAAGGCAGATCGCAGTCTCACCTCCGGCCCTTGAGCGTTCTTCGGAAGGGGTCCCAAGTCTGTAGAACATGGCGCAAGATGCTCCTGGACTCGCCCGTGTTGTGGGGTCGAGCAATCGACTTCGATGTTCTCGTCTTCGCCGACAACGAATGGAGAGAAGAAGTTACCAAAAGAACGAAGACAGCCCCCCTTTTCGTCACCGGCTCATTAGACAAGACCACAGACAAAATTCTGTCCTCGTTTCTCGCCAAATACTGGAGCAGGGTCGAAGTTTTGGAGATACACTCGGAGCAGAGCTGGCCAGGCCCGGATGGATACGTTTTCTCCCCGAACGATTGGTCATTTTTGGCCCAGCCAACGAACACGATAAAACATTTTGTGCTGAAAATACCCACCACAAGCGACATGGATCACCAATTATTTTCCGGAAATGCACCGTCCATACGCTTCTTCTCTACTCACCGCATATTCCACCATATCAATCCGTCTTGGGCCGCAAATCTTCATCATCTGGAAATCCAAATCGTCGCCACCTACCATGAACCAAGACTCACAGCCCAGGAGATATTCTCTGCGCTGATGGTTGCTCATACCCTCGAAGTTCTAATTCTCGTGGGCTCGTTAGAAGAGAAGCCTGCTGGGCGACTTCAGAAAATCAATCTCCCTAATTTGCGGCACATAACCATCAACGATACCGTCTTCGCATGCAACACCGTCCTTGGAAATATAACCGCACGTAGGGGATGCTGTCTCTCTGTGGACGCTTGTGATGAACCGGATTTTGTTGACGCTACCCCGGACGACCTGTTAACGACACGAGATCTATGCATGGGATACTTTACTCAGTACTACGAACTTCACGCTCCGCAGGAAAGTCACTTTCAAATCTCCGACTTGAAGGATTCCCATTTCCTCGCCATCACCCCTTCCGAGAACCGTCCGATTGATACTCAGGAGGGCTCATCGGAAGGTTTCGCCGTCATGATCGATGCCTCGATGACCTCCACTCGTACTCCACGCAACTTTGTCGAAGGCTTAGTCGGTCTCGACTTCTCTAGCATCATATCCCTCGACCTCGAAATGGATCCTGAGGAGGTCGAGCCCTCTAGCCCTTACTTCTTGTCGTTTCTTTCCTCCTTTGGTTCGGTCACAACACTGATGACGAACCTCCAAACGCTGGACTCCGTTCTCAACCATCTACCGTCGTTCGAACCGCTCAAGACCCCTTTGTTTCCATCCCTCGTTACCCTGAAGATATGCACGTCTTATGACCCTGTTTCGATGGATCTGGAAACTTTACAACCAGTCCTTTCGTTTCTGCAAAGAAGGTCAGACCTCAGGAAAGCGATACAAATATTGGACCTCGCAGATCTGTTTCGGTATCCTTACATTCACCAAAACGACGAGTCGAATGACGCAAGCAACGTTGTGGCTAAAATCGAAGGTTTAGATGTTCTGTGGACAAAACCAGTAAATATCCTCGTCTAGGCGTACCACTGGCAGGAGGTAACCAGTAATCTGTTATCTATGCTGCAATATCCGAAGCTTGGTTGGTTTGAGCATCGTTCCTTCTTCATCTTACATAATTTCGTTCACGAGAAGAGGGAATGAGGCCGACTACCAGTTGAAAACAGGTTATTCATTCAAATTTATGAACTTGCCCCGCGGTGATTTTACTGTACAACAAATCGATCCTTCCATCACCTCAACCGCAGCACCCGCAAGTTCGATCTTCTTGATTTCTTCAGCGGCTCCAACATCAACCACAACCTCGATCTCGCTCTTCCTCCCCATCTCGACACCTTGAATAATACTGATCCGATGGACACCCTCACCCTTCTTCAGCCCAAGATACCCTGCGAGCGTAGATGCCGCAGACCCCGTAGCAGGATCCTCGAGCGTCCCGTCGAACATTCTCGTCCTCACCACACCATCATCGCGCTCGAAGAACGCGTAGAGACCCATGAACCCATCCCACTCGCCTAGATTCGGCACCGTCAATCGCTCAGGCGAGGGCTGCAAGCGCGCTAGGGCGTCCTCCGACGTGAGCTTCATCAGGAGGAAAGTCATACCCTTGACGATCGACGCGACTGGCTCTGCGCCGTCTGGGCCGTTGACATAGTCCGCCGCGGTCAATTTGGGTTGGAGTGTTTTGACGAGCGGGTGGACGTATTCCGGGTGGACCTTGAAGTCGGTGGGCACCTGGAGGCGGACCTTCCCATTCGCTTCTCTCGAAACGGGAATATCGCCCGCCTTCGTTCGGAGAGTGACCGTCTCCTTCGCCGGGTTCTGCGAGAGCAAGAACCAGCCGCTGCCTACTGTCGGGTGGCCCGCAAACGGTAATTCGGCATTGGCCATGAAGATATCGATCCGTACAGGCGCGTCGATATCTCCCTCGTGAAGGAAGACGGTCTCAGAGAGGTTGAATTCGCGCGCGATAGTCTGCTTTTGGGCTTGAGAGACGGTGCTTTGGAGCTCCTTTGCGATGCGGACGATGGCGAGGGGGTTTCCGAGGAAATGCGTATCCGTGAAGACGTCAAGGGTGGTGAAGGGTAATTTGGCAGACATTTTGTCCGAGACGATGGAGGTTGGAGAAGAAGTTTGCTGCTAATGACTCATCGTGATCTTCGTCACCAACGGCGATCGCGGAAAAATATCCGGGCCGTCCCCTCCGAACTGTTGTTGCGTTCAAAAAACGCGCAGAATTCAAAGCTTAAAAAATCGTCGATGTGGTTTCTCGGGCGTGAAAATAAATAATGATTGCTTAGGAGCAAGTCCGAGAGAAGAGGTTTCATGCGACAAAGTTCGAAGTGGTGGCAGCCAGGTCAAGTCAAACTAACCGACTGTGTAGAAGTCGTCTTGGGAGGAGGAAGGTTCGTTGAATACGTCGTCACTGATACGCCGTTTGGAAAGCAAGAAGAGTACCCTATTGGAGACAGACGTGTCAGAATCGGTGGAAAATAGAGAACGGGATAGTCTTGAACGCATTTTTTCTGAAGCAGACTTACAGTCAGAAATCCAGTTACAATACGTTCTAAAGACAGTTCTCATCAGCATGGTCGAAACAAGGGGTAGGATAGAGATAAGCAACCCTCACCCTGCGACGCATTTCGTAGGGCCGGTGTGCCCTATACCGCCGCCTGTACGCGTACATCGGTCAACACCAGATATCGCGGATGACACAGAAAGAGCGTACACTGTCCAAACAGAGGCACGTCAGCCATCGCGCCTGGAATAGTAAGACCGAACATGGCGAGGGCAAAGGCTTGAAAAAAGCGCATGATATTAATACTTGCAGTGCTTGAGAACAGGGAAATGTTTAATGACTGCTGACCAACAGCATTGAAACTTGTCTAGCTTTTATACCGTAAGGAGACGGTGAAGAACTCCCTGTGGTCAAGCATCTAACCCCTGATGCGGAGAGCAAAAGGGAGAGACGCACTCCAGGAGGCCAGAGAAAGGCTGGTTCCTTGTTCCTGCTCAGCGGCACGAAGTCTGCCATAGACAAGAAACGAGCTGAGAAGTTTGTCATTTGTAGATCCATATCCTCGCCATATCAGTTAAACCGCGCCGTCACTGGCAGTAGCGTGTACGAAGAAAGTGACAACCGGAGCACCTGGCTGCCTGGTGGACATTGTTCGGAACTGTCCATGTTCATCATCTGAGGATACCGGCTTTTATCGCCCGCGCAGGAGATGCTTGTCGAAGGTTGGGAATCTCTCTCAGACCAAATCCCCCAAGGAGCATTTGGAAAAGACAAAAAGCGAATGGATTAGCGTCGACCTCGTCTCCGTGGTCGGTCTAAGGTCGTGTAAGCATCTATTTAGGTGGTTGGAATCTAGGAACGCGGTCGTGGTGATAGCGTCGCGGTGTTCAGCGTGGGGTCGGGCTTGTGGCCAGAGTCGTTCAGAGAAAACGACTCCCAGAGGTGTTTCTGCTCTTCCTTGGTCATGCCCATTCGGCCTCTCCAGTGGCGAAGGGAGGAAGGCTCCTCTACTGGGCCGCGTGGCTTGACGTCGCCGTTCTGCAGGTCGTCACAGAGCAACTTGATGATAGGTGACGCGTCTTCAGGTTTGAGGCTGCCTAACCTAAAGTAACGCGAGTTTGAGCGATTGAACGAAGGGGAAGATAGGAACGAACACACCATTCTCCGTGAGGGAAGATCAACGCGTTGGCAGCGTATCTATACCACGTCAGATTGAATATCACTGCAGTCGATTAAAGGATAGACATACTTGTGTCCTCCAACATGACCAACCTCTCCAACCTTGACCTTTGCGGCGGGACCTGTTGGGTCTGCTCGTCGCAAACTCTCCACTTCCTCTGCAAGAGCCTCGAAAACTCGTTGACCTCTCTCTCCACACCTGCAATCCCGCGCTCCATGGGTGCACACGTAGATGTGGACTTCGTCCGAGGTTGACTCCTTTACGGGCCCTTCGAGATGAAGTCGGATCCTGGCTTCTACTTTATCCATGTTCTCCAGTAATACATCAGGGAGTTCCAGTCTGCCACCCAGCGTCGAAAATACCGTCGCTGCTTGCCTACGATGACTGGAGATATCGGAGTGAGACGGAAGTGTGTTCATCCACGAGAAATTGACCATGCCGCCCCATTTTGTCGCTCGGGCAAGCAATTCGCGCGAAACCGGGGTATGGAAGACAGATGGAAAGGCCGAAGGAGGTTCGTCTGCGTGCAGCAAGATGTAACACCGGTAGTGATTAACGGTCCCTTCTATGCGGCCTTCGTAGTACTCCGGTGGCTTCATCGTCGAGTACGGCCTTTTTGGAGTCATTCTTCCACCTCGATATCCGGAAAGTTGAGCTAATCGAGTCCATATATTCGCGATAGATAACCTTGGCTTCATGACGACGTCGAAAATTGTTCAACGTTTCAACCTCTGCGAAATGCAGGCTACCCGAGCACGAGTCTGAGAGAGGTGGAGGGGAGCTAGTGTAACTCATCGGACTAAGCGTTAGGATGACGCAAGAGCTGAACCAGTTGCCGTCTCCGGCGTTTCCGGCAACTTCCGAACACATATTTCGGCAGGTACGGCAGGGAGAGCTTTGCCGATCCATTTGAGCTCGTCAGACGAGCGTTTGACAAAACTGATAGGAAGATTCCCATAGTTCGCGCGTGGACGTCTAAATACTATGAATGAGAATTACGATGTACAGCTACTGGAAGTATGTTTTATCTAGGACACTCATCACAAATGACAGTCGGATGGTCTGTTTTCGACGTGTTCTGCTCGTATACGGACAATATCCAACCTCTGAAGGTTCGCTTCGTCGCAAAGAGAACGAAATATTGAGTCTTCCTTGTCGAAGAGGTTGAGAACGGTGTCGTATTCCACGACCTTGCCATCGTCCATGACAAGGACCCGGTCGTAGTAGGCTGATGTGAGAAGGGCAAGACATTAGCGCGACGTCTGGCGGAGACATTAACAAGTAATACCTATAGTGTTGAGACGATGAGCAATGCACAATAGCGTCGAAGATGCAAACTCGGTTTGAATCGTGCGTTGAAGCTTGGCGTCTGTCTCAACATCGACACTGCTAGTGGCTTCGTCGAGAACAATGATCTTGCTGTTCTTGACGAGAGCACGGCACAAGGCTAATAGTTGCTTCTCTCCAGCACTGAAATTTGCGCCTAAGGCTCCGTAAACAATTATACAGTCTTTATAAAAGGCACAACCATACCTTCATCCCCAACGGTGCAATCGAGACTGAACTTCGCCTCAGCAACAGGGTCAGGAGGACCGTCCCTTGGGAGCAGCCACGCTCGTTGGAGTACGGAAATCAGCTCGACATCCGTACGTAGGCCTTGCGGGTCACTTGGAATTTTTGTTAGGCGACGCATAACCCTGAAAAAAAAAATAAGGAATGTTCTTACAGGTTCTCCCTCAATGTTCCGAGGAAGAGGGTGCTGTCCTGTGGGACAAGAGCAAGCCTGCCGCGCAACGTGTCAAGACCTATACCCCGAATATTCAGGCCGTCGATCTCGATCTTCCCACTGTGTAGTTCGACCATCCTAGAACAAAAAAAATCGATACAGGTTCATGATGGCAAGGCGTAGGTACTTACCGGAAGAGGGCCTGCAGCAATGAGCTCTTCCCTGCTCCAGTACGTCCAACGATACCGATCTAGCGCGAGGTGTCGAACATCAGCCAAGTCAATGATGAGTGCGAACAAAACTACTTTTTCTCTGGACTTGATCTCAAAGCTGACACCTTTCAGAACAAGAGGCAAACCTTCACGATAGGCCAACTCGACGTCAGTGAATTCAATCCTCCCTTCAGTAGGCCAAGTTGGAGGGGGGTCGGTTGGACTGGAAACGTCGCCCTCTTGAGGAAGTTCCGAGTAGTGCAGGATCCGTTCAACGGCATTCATGTTCTGCTCGTTTTGCGCGAACTGAGAGACCATATCGGCTAAGGGAATACATAAGCGTTTTAACATCACTCGTTGGGTAGTGCCGCGTACAGAACATCTGAGTGACTGGGCAGAGTGTATAAGTAAGGAGAAACTTTCTGGAGGTCGAGACGCGTACTGCCTAAAGTATACGACAAAACAACGCCAATCTTCGCGGGGTTCACCGAGTGACGGAAGCCAGCAGCGAACAGACCAATCCCGAGGATGAGGATATTCCCAAAGAGGTCCAGACGAACACCCAGCCATCGTTGAATCGAGATGGTCATGTAGTACGCCCGATTTTCGAGGTCAAGCCCATGCTCTGCGGCTCGTATAGAGCGATTCTGCAGTTTCATGTTAGTCATGTACCCGAGGGACGTACATTTTAAGATAGTTCACCTGTTCACGATAGGCTCTGATGGTAGCAAGGCCACTCAACGTTTCTGAACCTTTTTTTTCAGCAGAGTAAGAGTCGTGGTTTCGCCTTGGCTCACTTACCGGAAAGCGACCCGTAAAGAATCGATCTCATCAGTGAATCCAATCGTTTTGTTTCGACCGACGAGCGACGGTAGTACGTCGCCACCAGGTAATACAAGACAGACATTGGGGCGAAGATGATACCCAAGTACGGGAAGGTATAGAAGACCAATGCGACAGTCCCAAGGACCGAGCTGAAGGTCGACAGAGCCTGGAGGCATGGTTAGAAAATGACAAAAAAGGACCATAACCCTTGACTACCTGGGTCATCGTCATAGACAACTCATTGTCTAATGTGTCTTGGTCCTTCGAGAACCGCGACAGTATTCGACCAAGGGGCGTCGTGTCGAAGAACGCGGTCGGCGACCGCAGAACACTGGCAAGTGCAGCTTTGAAAAGGTTCAAGCCTCCTTTCAAACTCGCAAGGCTAATGGTAAAGCGTAACGCCGTTAACATAATGCCGTCGATGGACATAGAACACGGACTTACGCAAATGAGAATGTGAGAATGAAGGTAAGTATAGCTTGGGCAACGCCTAGAATGCTTGATTAGCGATACAAGAACACCAGGGCAACGGTGCAGATACCCAGTGCTGCGTAAAGGGCCATATAGTCTCCTTGTCGAAATCCATGTAAGCTCTCCGAGGTCCAGAACCCGAGGAAGAGATTGTTTCCAACTGCAAGAAAATGTCAGTGCAAAGAACTCAACAAACAAAGAAAATGTTACCTTGGGCGATTTGCGTCAATACCAGTAAAGTCAAGATGAACGGCGCCCAAATGACGCCACCGGCATACCGCAAGTATTTGGCGTACGTCGTCCATGAGACGGCACCAGTATTCCGTTCTTCGATCTGCATCAGCCCAGCGCCGGGTTTCTTGGTTGTGCCTTCCTCTGTGACATCGTCGAAGGCGGCACCTTTCGCTTTTCCTCCTCTCTCACTCTTAGAACCTATATCTGGTTGGTCTGGGCCTTCTGGATCGACTTCAGATTCTGCGCTACCATACTCCTCCATGAGTCGAGAGAAGACGACACTGTCGTTGACGAGATCCTGTTGCACTTGAGTTAGAGCATACACAGTGAAAGACGGCAAGACATTTCACATTATAAGTGCCTTGCTCGATAATACGACCATTCTCCATGACGTAGATGTAGTCCGTCTTATCAAGGACGTGAAGGGCATGGGTCACCAAAATACGCGTACGGTCTGCCAGCGGGCCTGAGAGGAGGCAATTCTCCAAAATCGACTTGCCAACGTATGCATCAACGGCCGAGAGTGGATCATCCAGTAAAACGATATCTGAACCCGAATAGGCCGCTCGGGCCAGCGAAACTCTCGCCTGCAGGCACGGTTAGCATCCGAAGAAAACGCAAAGAGAGAGAATACTTTCATACCTTCTGGCCGCCGCTCAGATTTATTCCTTTCTCGCCGATTTCAGTATCTTCTCCCTGGGGAAGAACTTCGAGGTCGTGCACGAGGCTGCATGCGCGAATGACTTCTCGGAATCTGGAACCAAGTCAGCAACAAGAATTTTGAGCGCAGACGTAACGCACTTCTCTTCGTCATCAGGCTGTCCAAAGAGCACGTTCTCCCGAAGCGTAGCATTCCGAATCCAGGGTGTTTGAGGCGCATAAGCCACCGTGCCTCCAAAAACCACCTCGCCTCTCGTCCGACGCATTTCACCAATGAGAGCTTGCAACAAAGAGCTCTGTGACGAGGAAAAATAATTTAGAGCTTTGGGGTATGAGAAAGGAAAGGACAATTTACCTTACCAGATCCAACGCGCCCTACAATTGCAATGAAAGCGCCTTTTGGGACGATAAAATTGAGATTATTCAACTCGAACGGCGCTTCCTTCTCCTTGTCCTTCTCGCCGTCCTTTTCCACTTCAGCGTTCGACGATGGCAAAATTCCACTCTGCTCTTTCTTCGACGAACGCTTCCACCATCTCTTGGCATCCTCCTTCTGGGGTGCCCGACCTGATGAAGTCAAAGCATCCCCTTTGCCTTTATCAAACTTTCCGTCCTTCTCGTCGAGTGAGTTGATAACTGTCTCCCAAACGAAATCGCCATCCACTTGAACCGCGATTGGCAACCCAGGCTTCACTGGATATGGTTCGGGTAGGTCTTCAGAAGTAAGGAATTTGGATATCCGACCGAGTGCTACTAGAGCATCGGACAAGCTCGAGAGGACAAACGGGAAGAAGACCAGTGGGGCACGGATTACCTGTCATATCTAACGTGTTAGTCGAGGATCTTCGTTTGGATAGGAAACGGAGGTTTAACATCTGGGCGCACTTACGTTGAAGAGCTGGAGTGAACTGAAGATGATGGCGATGTTCAGTTCATGCCCACTAAGCGCGTACGTGATCTGCAAAAGTGAACCATAAGAATTGCACGAGACAGTACGAGACAGTATGAGAATTAATGCCGTTGACACATACAAACGACAAGATAGACGCGAGGATCGGGATGAAAGTGACCATCGAGATCAATGTCGACCTCGCAACACTGAAAAACCAAACGGCAGCAGGCGCATTAGTTAACCAAAATGACTACGAGAAAGCTTCGCCATATACGCACGCGACCTTCCGGATCGTCCTGATCTCTCTCGTTCTCAATTCTCCAATATGTTGCGCATAGAACGCTTCCCAGGCGTAGAATTTTATGAGCCGAACGCCTTGTAGCACCTCTGTGGTCAAACGGACCCGTTTGTCGGTGATTTGGACTCCCTTTCTTCGTTGTTGGAACATGATCTTGACTAGAATAAACTGGAGGGGAAAGCCGAGAAGTAGGACCTGTGAATTTGGTCAGAAAGAAGATAAGAAAAGGTGGAATGTGAGACGTACGCCAAGACCGACAAGCGCCGAATGTCCAAGCTAAGTACGAATGAGTCGAGGTGAGATCGAAGACGGGTGCTCCGTCGCTCAATATCGGGGGACTTACGTTTCCAAGAAGCAAACCAATACCGATCGCGAGCTGTATAGTTCTTCGTTAGCGGGGCCTATTATTCCTAGTTGCAGAGATACCTGGATTGGAGCTACCCAGAGACTAGGCAAGAAAATCAGCTAACACTAGATGACGAAACGCAATGGAACACCGACTTGTGGCCAAACGCTGAAAAGCGATCTAGTCTAGTCGCATCCGTCGAGATCATGGTTGTAATTTGGCCGACGCTATGAGCTGCGCGAGCACGACCTGACAGTCGGAGAGACTTTCGAAAGACGCTGCCGATGACCTAATGCATAACCCTAAGTGAAAAAAGGAAGGTCACGAAGAAAGTGCACCCACGCCGGTACGGATTGAAAGACCAATCGTCATCGATGCTGAAGAACAGTTGAGTGACAAGAAGTCGTCTAAACCACGGAGAGGCGTACTTTGTTGGAAGTGGTTCGTCATCTTCGGGCGAGACTCTGCGTTAGCCCAGAGAGTTTGCCTTTTTGCTATCGGGGGCACGTACCAAACTTGCAGCCTCTACGAAAATGTGAGCAGAGGAACAATCTCTGTGATTGGAAAAGAGACGCACCTTGCATAATGAAAAGGGTTACTGCCAATCCAATGCCGTATCCAATACCGCGGGGAGCAGTTAAGCCGGCTGTGGTGGCTTGTGCTCGCTGGGTATCCGTTAAGCGGGCATATGTGTATGACTCTGTAAGCCAAGTCAGAAGGACCCTGTTCAGAAGCGGGGTCGTCGTCCTGAGGGTATCTACAAATCGTGTCAGAAGGAATAGAACAGCTTAGCGCAGTGCGGCAAACCTCCGAATAGCTTTAGAGTACCAGCGACCCATATAGGTACGATGAACGTCCGATGGATAGCCTTGAATAGGGACTCGTCGTACTTCTGCTCCCTGTCCCGCCTTCTCGTAAAGAATCGAGCAAACGGCCACATTCTCGTGGATCTCGCTTGCGCGTCCGATGGGACATTCAACGGCCTCAGGTCCCCTTCTGCGGGAACGACGGTCGGAGTGGAGACGCCCGTGTGTGTATCAGCGGGCGGCGCCATTTCGCCTCCACCTTCGCCTCCCTTCTCGTCGTCGTAGACGCCCTCCTTCTCTGCCGCGAGAGAACATTCCGGTTTTTTGACGGTCGAGAGGGTGGACTGATCGTCCTGCATATATCGTGGCCTTTTCTCCGGTGCACATCGCTTGTAGAAATTGTGCTCTACGTCGTCCGTTACGGACGCTGTTAATCGTGAATGCGGTAGGTTCCAAAAATCTGCAAGGTGAGGGTTAAAAATAGTCGGTGCCGATATGTGAGTCACACACCCTCCTCCTCTAATGGCCTCGAGAAACCAACCTCGAGGAACGGCGCCAGCCATTGGAATATTATCTTCGACCATAACCTGCGAAAAGAGAATAATGAGCTTCTACTACGTCGGAGAGTTTGTCATGGAGAGGAAGAAATGTCGGACTGCTCATTAGTTCCAGCCCATGGACGGTCCCCAAGAGCCGTGCGCGGAATGCACGAGACCCTTGAGAAAGCTACGAAGAGCAAATGTCAAATTCAACTCACGGAGCAGTCTCCTCTGGTATTTCCTTTCCTGATCCAAACCCTGGTGCAGCCGGAGGCGGCTTTAAAGGGTTGTGGAGTTCCGATTTCATGATCTATAGTGAATTCGAAGACTTCGCGTCGAGCGCCCAGGGCCTCGAGAGGTGTGCTACTTGCTTCGCTGGAGGTGAAGTGAAGTTGAGAATCGAAAGCAAAGAGAGATCGGTGACGTCGGCACGTATGTATACGTATGCGGGGGGGCATGCCCGTGGCATTTTCGGAGATCCCAGCCATTCCAGGATCAGGAGCTGGCTGAGGGAGGAGGCTCGAGGTCGACGGCTGCCTGGCCATGGTCAGAACCAACGCGTAATCACGGAACCTGTACCGTGCGAATGGTTCCGCGACCCCATTTTAGATTCTCCATTTTAGATTACAGGAACGGCCAATCATGTTGAGCGTTTTATGCACGATGCGGGTTAGACGGGCCCATTTCCGGTGCGGTGTGAATTTGTTGAAGAAGTCGAAAGATAAGAAAGAAGTATGCTTCAATTACAAGATATATTAGCGAAGTGTTACAGGGAAGTTTGTTAGATGATAATTCAAATATTCACCGCTCATGTCGATTCTTGCTGCCATGCATTTTACCGTTCAAAACTCACAGTTAAAGGGCTATTGAGCGACACGTCTGGCAGAGCCTGCCCAATCTTGTCGATCATCCGGTCAGTAAGGATATTCGAGAAGGTCACCCGTCGCAGCAAGGTGCATCCCTCTTGGATGTCAGCGCTGCGCGAATGAAGCATCCTTGTCGACGGCTTCAGATTGACATCCACAGAGTATTGGTAGGACCAGTCTAACTTCAGCTCCAAATCCTCTAATTTTGGGAGAATCTTGGGCGACCCCGACGTGAAGGATAGTCCAAAAAAAGTGTCTTGGAGTCGGGTAAGCGACAGTAGAGGGTCAGGGTGCGGATATTCGAAGCACCATGCAGGATATCGAGGAAGGTGGGTATGTCTGCTGAATTATAGAGCCCATCGAGGGTAAGGGTACGGAGGGAGGAGACGTATGCGACGGCGGTCGGTAGGGTCTCATCGAGGGGTGGCCACAGTTCGCTATACCGGATGTGCAGAGTCCGCAACCCGGGGAAGAGAAAGGGGCTGAGCAATGTAAATACGCATGGGGTAGGGAAAGATCGATGGATCTCCATTCTGAGTTCAGCCAATGTAGGTTGCAGTCGTGGAGGGTGGGCTAGTGCAGAAGGTAGGTCCTGTGGGGCGTTGTCGTGAATATGAAAATCACCGGACACTAGCTGGCTACACGACTGCATGATTTCGACCCAGAAGCGCACTGGAATAGCTTCAGAGAGCTTGAGGCTCGTCAGTGTCGACCAAGGAAATATGGCGAGTGCGCCGGGTGTTGTGATAAATTCTTTAGAAATTTCGAGGGAACAGAGGCTCGGCGCATCCATGAATACCGACATAGGCGCCACAAATTCACCTTCGGCTGAACCGTGGTCGAGACGCGGGTTGTAGAAGTCAGCCTGCGTGCTTCTTAGCGAGAGGTGATGCAGCATCGTGAAACTCCACTCCATTTCGCCAAGGTGGTCCAGTAGATCAGGTATCCAATCGGCGGACAGCGAGAGATGTCGAACTTGAGGGGCTAAGTCTGCAAAAACCTGAAGGAAAGAATAGAGTTGCTCTGCTCGGACCGTTCGGGTGTCGAAGTCGAGTGGAATGTCGAAAGTAAGGAAAAGAGATAGAGATCCCTTCGCGCGTCGCAACCACTCCTTCGACATGTCACGAACACGTCGAAAGGAATCGATGTCGCTTCGCGATACATGCAACGTCGACCACATCCGAGGGGACGCCAGCACCGCCTTCCTCCAACCAGTCGACACCTGGCACAATGACAGCGGTGCTTGCCTCCTGACTGCTGAAGGCTGGTCCGGCAGACACCATTGACTGATTTCGTAGATGATATCGAAGGGTAGCCGTCGGAAGGGTGACGATATAGCATCGAATGCACGCATTGCTGTTCGGTATGGCGCGAGTTTCCGCGTCAGTTGGGTGTGCTGTTTCTTCAGCTCTTCCATTTGCTCTTCGACAACTGCAAGCTCCATCTCGAGTGGCCTTATTATTTCCAGAGTTGGCTGTCTTGCATTGCCGTAAGGTTGGGTCTCCTCTGGGTCTTGCGGTTCGTTCGTGCGTAACATGGTGATCGCATCGCGAGGAAAGTAGACGTACCCCTGTTAACGTTTGCATAAACAATTATGAACAAGGGAAGTAAAGGAAACATACCTGATAGAGCTCGTGCCCCCACAGTTCCGTATCTGTTTTCTGTCCGGCATTCGAGGTTCTGAAGTTCGTCGGAAGGTCTGTCTTCCATAGCCCCCATGAGAATGAGAACTTCAAGACCACGAGACGCCTCCAAGATGGTAAATATTTTTGCAGATGTGAGCTTTGATGGTTTATCCTGTCCGGGATATTGGATCTCGAGGTGGCGAAGACGGGTTGTCAAAGATGGGTTAACGGGATGTGAAAGATAGTGGGTTGATAAAAACTGCAGCGAAGGCGCGTCGCCAGAAAATAAACGGTACTCCGTGGCATGCGGAAAAGGGAGCTCGAGAAGGAAATGTCGAAGGCGCTTCGTTGGTTTGGTCAAAATGGACCTCATCTTGGAGTCAAGAGCGTATGCTCGATCACTGGAGATATCTACTTGTGAGCTCATCTCCAAAAGCTCAATCCTGCCCCAATTATCCATTAGGAAGGGTCCTAAAAGCCTCTCGATCCCACGTGTTAATGCAACAGTAACCCATAAAGAGGATGATCCAGCTCTCTTGGTGATTTCTTCAACCCGCTCTTTCCTGGAGCACTTCAGAACATCTTGATCGATCACTCGACCCCACAGGACGGTAGAACTCAGGATTATCCTGCGCCAGACCGCGCAGACTTGGGATGTCCATCTAAGAACGTTCAGGGACCGAAGGTCAGACGTTGAGGACAAATTGCTGGGCCTGGCAGGTCTAGATTCCCATCCAGGCTTTGGCTGAAGCAGAGGAGCGGCGATGAAGGAAAAGATTTCGTGGAAGACATCCTCGGATAACTTGGAAATAGGTGTCGCTCTCGAGGGAAAGAGTTGAGTTGGGGGTATCTGTGCCATCATCCTGGAGCCTGCGAGTGACGATGAGATGCGCCTTGGTGCAGCACTGGTGTAATCCGGGACTACGATGATGGAAGTCAAAGGCAAAGATGCAAAAGGGATACACAGGTATTCTTCCATCATACATAAAACGGGAAATGTCCGGGTTCCTCTAACATTTGCAGCTGAAGCTTTGTGTAATCCTGGATGAGAGCTGGTGTCGCGCGGAAAGATATGAGGTCCCATGAAGTTCGAGGCCGTTCATCGCATGAACGGGAGCGGGAGTGAGAGCAAATATTACACCTTCAATAGTCATGCAGATACGATATATTCAGCCCAGCCCCCCCAAACGGCGCCAAAGCCTGCGTCAACTGAGGGAAGGGGTATGACAAGGAGAGCTCTTGCAACGGAGAGAGGCCGCTGGGCACCGCGAGGTACCGAGACTCCACCATGGAGATAAGCAGGGTCAAGTCGTACTCGGGATCCCAGCAATCTGGCAGGAGAAGCTTGAAAACGGCGAGTTTGGAGAGGATGGCGGGCGAAGCCCTCAAGGACATCGCGCAGTACAGGGGATCAGGATAGGCGAAGCTGCTGGAGCTGTTGAATTCGAACGTGTGCAAGTTCGTTGTTTCACGTAGTATGGCGATAAGGTTGGCCGTCGGTATGCAATCTGACAGCGAGAGGTATTGAAGGTTCGAAAACTCTGGGAAAAGGTTCGGAGGTCCATCGGGGTAGTCTTCGATGGCCTCTTCATGCGCTACGGTCAAGGAATGCAGTCTTGGGAGGTTAAATAAGGAGAGTAGTTCGACAATGAGGGGGTGGGTGTAGAGGATGGTGACCTTGAGCGTCTCGACATTTGGGTGAGTGTACTTTGGTTGGGATTTCGCTATGTCAAGGTCATCTTCCTCGCTGTCTCGGACGAGGAAGTCGCCGGAAGTCATCTGCTCGCAGAGCACCATGACACGAATCCATTCTAGGAGCGGCAGTCCCTCTGTCAGCTCGACCGACGTCAAGCGAGCCCATGGCATAATGAGATGAGATCCAGGTATCGTCGCGAAAACCTTTGATACTTCGAGTGTCCGAAGGTTTGTTGCCGAGTTGAACATGAGAACTGGCGGTACCACGATGTCGAGGTAATCTTCATTGTAGAATTGTCCAGTCGTACTGGAAATAGAAAGCGATTCGAGCTGCGGAAATGTCCAGGGTATTTCCACGAGATGAGGAAGGAAATCCGCGAATTCAGGTACTGAGAGGGAAAACCGTCGGAATCGTGGCGTGATGTCGCTCATTGCGAGGAGGAAGTTGAGTAATCGCCGTCCTCTTGGACGCCCCATAGGGAAGTGGAGGTGTAGGGATAGATCCAAGGGGCGTCCTCTCGCCCGTTCGAACCACTTCCGAATTCCCTCGGCAGAACGGGGCAGATGAGTTGCACTTGGGATATACACATTCAATTTCGACCACAGCTCCGCTGACGACAGCACTGCCATCCTCCATGCAGAAGAGACGTGGGACAAAGAGAGCGGGGCCTCTGTGATCTTGGCTGACGGTACAGAAGGGAGCAAATGGCGCGCTATTTCGCAGAGAATGTCGAGCGGGACGCGTCGGATCGGCGCAAGCACCCTGCAGCACCCTTGCAGCATTGTGCGCTGCACCTCAGCGTCCTCCATCAGTTCGACTTGCATCCGCTTCAAGTCTTCCAGTCTGGCTGCGACGTCTTCCAATTTCTTCTCCAGTTCGGGAACCATTCGCTCAGGTTCCTCCTTCAAGGCCCGTGCACTCTCCATGGCAATTGCGTCGGGAGGCTCGTTATCTAACATGGCTGGAAGCATTTCCATAGGAAAGTCGACTAATCCCTGTCAAGACGGTGAATTGTTTGCCTGACCGAAGAATCAGAAAACGCACCGACTGTTTTCCGTTGAATCTAGTGCCGACAGCATTCTCCCATTCCTCGCCGTCGCTGTCCGAACGGGCGTCCTGCATTTCGGAATCCGACATCGTGCGTTTGTTGACGATCCTTTATGGTAGATGAATCAATGTATACGTGTTGAAGCAGGCTTTGAGACTTACTAAGTCGTGGATGAAACGTTGAAAGGCCCCCAGGCAAAATTGTCATTGCTGCTGATGACGCCGGGAGCAGTAGCGTGGAATAGACTTAACGGGCCGGATCAATAAATATTGCGTCGGCGGGGCCACCTTCACTGGTGTCATATATGTCGCCCTCCTAGCATCCCCTCCCCTCCCCTTCCTGAGGATGCCGCAGCGCGTGGCTCGTGGATATCGTGGGCCAGTATGTCTCGGATCACCTACGCATCCAGGAGGGTCTATCCCCCAAAGTGACCAAGTTGCGCAATATACTTGACCGCGCCGCTCGCCAGCGCTCGCCGTGCCCCCCATGTACACACGAAAATACAAGTCCAGCCCCCCTGAACAGATGAAAATATGGGACTCAGCAGAAGATGCAGGCAAGGCACAAGTCGGGCACAACCCTGCTGGTCCGCGGTACGTTCGCCGAACCAACCTCAGCTCGCTCCGGAACACGCTGAGATAGGTCGTTAGGTTTTGGTTATACTGACATACTAGGTGCATATCAACTCAGACAGAGTTTATCCAACACCCCATTTATCTTCAACTCATTCACATACTCTACTCGGCACCCTCGCCAAGCGGAAAGATGAGGTTTTGGTGCCCAGGGACTCACTGGAGTCTCTAGCAACAATGGAGGGGGCGATTCGGGACTTGGTCAGCTGTTAATGATACTTACATTGACACCGTCTGTTCGTATGGTTCCACAGACAAGCTGATCAACACCGGCCAACTGACCAGGGTTATCGCATCCTAATAGCCCAAATACTACCTTCAATTTTTCAAAATGAACTGTACACATGCCTCAAAAATGCGTAGCAGACTTGCTCTTGTCCCACAGGACAGCACCCTCTTCCTCAGGACATTGAGGGAGAACCTGTAGGCCCACTCTTTGTCTTTTTCAAGGTGTTGCGTTGGCTGATGATATTCTTAAGCAACCCGCAAGGCTTGCATACGGATGCTGAGCTAATTTCCATACTTCAACGGGCATGGCTGCTTCCAAGAGACGGTCCTTCTGACAATACCATGGATGCTGAGTTCAGTCTTGATTCTACCGTTGGGGATGAAGGTACGCCAGAGCTTTGACGGAGTCCGTGTAAGTTCTTCACAGGGACACAGGCGCAAACTTCAGCGCTGGCGAGAAGCAGCTATTAGCCTTGTGTCGTGCTCTCGTCAAGAATAGCAAGATCATTGTTCTCGATGAAGCTATGAGCAGTATCATCACCTTTGCCGCCTATGTATCTTGAATGATTGTACCTCCTCCTGCCATAAGCCTCTTGGCTACATCATTTCTCCGTTCGTCCTTGGGACCGAAAATCACCAGTATTGTGTAAGAGGAAAATGACGTTGGACACAATTTCAAACCAGCATGCGGACGTTCGATTAGGAGGCCTGGATGGACTTGAAGAAGTCGAACGGGTCTCTATCCGTACGTTTTATTTCTACCCTTGACCTCCTCTCCCTGGTGCTGACATCTCGTGACGCCTATAGCGAACCTTCTGCCCGGGTTGTTGCGCTCTTCAATCCAGACCCCTTCCCTTACCAAATTAAACCCAGTGTCGCCGTTCAACGAGCGTGATACTGCTTTTCTGATCCTCTTGGCCTCAGGCCCTGGCCATGGAAGTGGGCAAGGGATATCATGTTAGGGTTTAATCAGAATGTCAACCCTATCGACCTCATACGTACGTTCTGCTCTTGCAAATTCTTACCCTGGGCTGAATCTTTCGAGGTTTGACGGCCATCGAGCATTTAGTGGGCTTGAAGCATGTGGAAATGAAGGAACAGTCGGAGAAGGCTTCAATCATCCTACGTATCGCGTAAGAAAGCTGCATCGACCTCGTCCGCGGTTCGGGTTTTGTACAATCTCCCTCGATTTCTCCATCCTCCGCCCTCATATATTATCCATGATTCCCTTTGCTTAAATTGTCTCTGCTCTTTCACAGCATGTACTTTCTTGTCGATCCTTCGATAATGTTCATGCACTGGGAAATTGCATAAACCTCTCACATGAGGCTGTATGTTGAGAGAAGGACACCCTTATGTTCAAGTTACTTCAGCGGCGGTGGTGGTCCGAGTTGCCCATTACCCATTGCGGCACAAAGCCTTTTGCTTCCGAACACTTTGTGGGTCCACGCATCAGTGTTGTTTGACACTTTGTTCTCATCACCACCGGAAGGACATTGTCGGAGCTGTGTCCTCTCCTAAACCTGCACCATCGCACGAAACAACGACGTGAGTGCTCCATCAAGCTGACTATCGAAGAGAGTTCCAGTTGTCTAATAGCCGGACTTGCCCAGGATCGCGTCGATTTCGTCCCTGTCCTTTGGAAGACATGCTCGACAACAGCCAGAATGTTCTGGTTACTGGAGGGACATTCACTCACGTCGAACAGCACGGGATGTCAGGTACGCTTTATCACACTATGAAGCCCCAACCCCTTTCATCGGGCCCTCATAGGATTCGTCCAGCTGCATGCCGCGATCGCCGATGGAGCCATGCACGACTCTGGCGAGCGATTCGATCCACCCAAGTGTTACCCCGGCACCCGAGAGGTTGTCCTCAAGCAACTCCTTGATTGGGTCATCACACATGATGGGGAGGCCTTCATGCACAGGGTCCAGGGCACCGCGGGTGGGGGAAAATCTGCCATCCTCCAGGAGATCGCAGAGTTGTGCGCCAAGCAGAAGCGGCTCATTGCGAGCTTCTTCTTTTCATGGACAGCCGTGTTGCGGAACAACGAAAAGCGGGTCATCGCCACCATTGCCTACCAGCTTGCGCAGTCGATCCCTGAAACATGACCTTACATTGACAAGGCGATTGAAAACGATCCGGCTGTGTTAACCAAGTCACTCGACTCCCAGCTCCTCTCGTTGGTCATCGCACCTCTAGATCAAGCATATTGCGCCGCTGGAGAAGAGCGCCTCCACTGGCCACGCCTCATCCTTCTCGACGGTCTCGATGAATGCGGTGAAGGGCCAGTTCTGCATCGCCTTCTAAGCTCACTTGTGACCCGCGTGGCAGAGTGCAAATTCCCTCTTCTTCTACTCGTTTCGAGTCGCCCGGAAATCCATCTCGTCACGACATTCAATCAGACTATCTTCAAGGGGAAGGTGTCTGTTACTGTATTGGACGAAAACTATAAACCTGATGAAGACATTCGGCGATTCCTTGAAGGGACGTTCCAAGGCATCAAGGAAAATCATCCTCTCCGCAGCTACCTCCCTTCCAATTGGCCATCAGCCGCGGCTATGGACCATCTCATTTGGAAGTCCTCTGGACACTTTATTTATGCCGCAACTGTCGCAAGATATGTCTCCCCTCCAGACTGTCATCCCGCTCAGTGTCTCGATGTGGTGCTTCGAATCCAAACCCCGACAGGGCATGAATCCCCCTTTGCAGAACTCGATGCATTGTATTTCCACATCCTTTCGTCGTTGCCTGACGATGAGATCTCGTTGCACATCCTTGCCCTCGTGGTATTCCCTCACATTTATGACCCCTATCGGACAACCCAGTATTTTGATCTCCACTTGCGTCTGCGAGGGGGGTTTCCGAACAAGTCGTTCACAAGTTAGCTTCGCTCATCAAGATTTGTCATCACTCTATGGTTGAGGTTCTGCATGCCTCTTTCACTGACTACTTGTTCGATAAATCCCGATCGCAAAAGTTCTACATCGAACTTAGCCACCATGCGACCTATTTTATGAGAATGAGTTGCCGTGTCTCGGTCACGGACACTAGTCAGTAATTGCTCTTCTTCTAGGACACCGTGAAAATGCTCATAGTCCTCAGTTCAAACGGTGAAAAGAAGATTGATCCAAGCAGATGTACGGTCTTTTTGTCGGCATGCAAGACCAACTGAGGAGCTCTTTGAGGATTTATTGTCAGGTTTCAAGTTTCTTGCAGAGGGACATGAAAACATACAGAAACTCGGACCATATAATCTAGCCATGGCAGCCTCTAACAGAGATCTCATCCGCATTGCAGTGAGATATTTGGAGTACTTTAGTCTCCTCAAGGTGGGATTTTCTCCCTTTATAGTACATATCTATGCAAACTTCTGATTCCCTTTGGCAGATGAGTTGTCCAAATCTGAGCGCAAACATCCATGAACGCTATCGAGAACACGTCAAGCGGTTCATTGAGTCTCAGATCGAACTCTATCGGTCAGATGATGTCCTCATCACCCTTCTCGTTCTTTCACTCGTGAACTTGTCCATGATGAGAGAACTGGTGGTGCGGACATTGTTTTCGCCGCAGCTTGAATTCCCCGACCACATAGCTGTGATCAAAGTTGATGATTCGACCGTTGAATTCATCGAAAGCACCCTCAAAGACCTCAAAGATGGAGACTTCACCAGAACGGCAAAAGTGATGGTATCTTCCCTTGTTCAGTAAGCTTCGTTCTGTCGCCTGCCTCAATTTTCCGTGATACTTATTCCACCCATTTTCCTGAAAGTGCTACCACGAAGGATGGCTGCGGTTCCTTTGATCACGCCTTTGCATTGGCGTCTTTACCTTATCTTCTGCAGAAGGCTTCCAATGACCCCAAATTGATTGCTCTTCTGCAGGCAATCGAGCTCCCGTGAGTGAATAGAGTCAATTTTATGGGTATACTCTTTTACACTGACCTTCAGCCTCCAATCAATCAGCTTGGATTCGTGTGATTATGATGGCACGTGTCTTAAGGCAGAGCGATTTGTAGCTATCTCAAGGTGGGCACCTAAGGGCTCATTCTCCTCGCTGTGACAATACTGTAATGAATGGTTCTGACTCCTCGCGTATTCTTTCCAGAGATCCGAATCGATGGTCGGCGACGAATCTCAAACCAGTGGCACCGACATAACAGAAAAGGACGCCAAAGTTGACTCTAAAGAAACACCCGAAGCTATTACCACCATCACGGAAGGGGAGAACCAAGAACGTCCCCAGCGTGCAGGCGGTTTGAGCACGACTGGCCCAGAAACAACGACCGCAGGAGAGAGAGCAGGAGCGGAAATGGCAAACGGAAGTGATGGCGAAAATATGGAGAGAGCTTGTGGAGAAATCGAGCAGCGAGATGTAATTCAAGTCACCGCGCCACTCAGGAAGGCTAGGTGGGCGCGGTTGTGGGCGCGAGTACAGAAGAAATTCCGGCACTATGTCGGGTAAACTGTAAAATCTCGATACCACATACATTTATACAATTCGGTTTGTTTTCATGACAAAGAACGAGATCCCATTATCTCAGCGCACGAATACCATCCCCGTTTCCTGTGGCGCCCTTGCCATAAATACCAAGTCATGAGGCCTGAGGCTTTTGCTTCCATGCAGTCTCGGCGGACGCCGCGGCACTTCCAGTTAAATGAATACCTACAGCAAAGGGGGGCGTCGTGAATCCATCCTCAAAGTCGAAGGAAGCGCGGACGTTTTAAATTGAAGTGGTGCATGTAAGGCCGAGAGGAAATGCCATGGTGGAGCTTACCCCTGACCTAGTCTAGGCGTTCCTTGAATGCCTTCAGCTACATCTCGAGCTTCTAGTTTTAAACAGAGAGTCGGCGATCTGCTTCTTGGTCTTGAAGAGATTTGAGGTCCTGTATCCGCTCATTGCGTGCGAGTAGTTCGCGTTCTGGAAATCCGACCTTGTATAAGAAGTCGATGTGCGACTAGAGAAGCTCGAGCTGCTTCCGAGGAGGGCGTCATGAATGACAAAAAGAAAGACGTCGTCATTGGAGGCCAATAACTGGAGCACGAGCGCGAACTTCGCGCCCTACCGTCGTCGCTCCCATTTGTATTCAGACGATTAGCACCGCCTACGATGCCAACGAGATTGAAGTATTGTTGTGTTCCTCCTGAAATCCATCTACTGAATCTCGGGCGTATTATCTGACGAAGACGAGCGACTTTAGAGTTTCGGTATTCGGAGGTCGGAGGAGGAATGGTATACGTTCAGTGCTCTCGCGGCGAGAACTGATGCTTCGATAGGAGCGAGTCGGGAATGAAGATGAAAGTAAGGATGCTGTGAATCGTCGCCAGGGATGGTACTTGGGGAAATGGCTGAGAAAGAAGGAAGGGACGAAAAGAAGAGTTGGTCGGAGTCATGAAAGTGGCTGGCGAAGGCAATAAAACTTCATTGAGCCCGGAAGCAGGTTTAAAGCGATTTGGGCTACAACGTTCGCGATCCGATATCTCCTCAATGGCTTTATCATCAGTTTGGAATTGTTCGACGTCTTGAACTTGACAACTAGTCTTCAACGCGTGCTGGATGGACACGGCTGTGTGTAGAATGCGAGGCAGAGAAATAAGGAAGTTTTGGGCAATCAGGGCGAGGACCGATAAGGACCATGTTGCTTCGAGTAGGTATGGGAAATGACGAGGAGGATTGTAGCGTCCTTCAAACGGTCTAAAGAGCTGGATGGCGGCTCCGAAAAGTAAGGGAGTGGCACCGCTGCGATGATAGAAGGAGGACGGTAGCGAGGCAGGGACAAGAGGTGCCTTGAAGGAAGGGGGGTAGAGGATGGTCTCTTTGTTGTTGACCCCACAGTCCGGAGCGATGTTTGCTTGGGATGCAGCCCGAATGTTTGCACTACATATGAATCAAAGTAACAACTTTAGGGGGTGGGGGTACGGGTAGCTTCACTCGTTGGAAGAGTTTGGGGTTGTTCGAGGTTAGAGATAGGGCACATAGTAGTGAGGGAGAATCCAGCAGCGAAGAAGAGTGAGACATAATGCATAAGTCCGGAAAAGGGACGTGGAATACCACCTGCGACCCGACTTTAGGGCGGGCTCGCGTGCCTCGAACGCAAGTCTACACTGTTCACGGGCCTCTCTGCGCACGCATCGAGCGTGAGTTTAGGGCCGGTGGAGGCACGCACCACACACGACGCGAGTGTAGGGCCGGGCTGGCCAAATTACCCGACCTTTAGGGCTGGTCTCAGCGACTTGTGCGCCCCTTCGTGCGCGTTCACAACGCGACTTTAGGGCCGGGTCTACTTGCGCCCCCCTCGCGGACGACTTTAGGGGAGGTCCCCTCGAGTAGAGCCGACTTTAGGGCCGGGGGGAGATGGAACCACCACCCGACTGCTGGTCAAAGGCCCAACAATAAGCCTTTGAAGCAAAGGGTCAGTCGGCGTTCTGCCCCTTACAGTAGGAAAAGTGACCCGGTAGGTCGGGCCGTGCACTGGAGCAGCCAGGCGTGGGCGGACCCGGCCATTTTCGAAAATGTGCACTTTTGCGGGGGAGCGCCTGGGGGGCCCGGGGATCGATTGCAGCATGTTCAGGTGGTCGAGGGGAGTCCAGAACACCCGCTCCGAGGCCGGGTTTAGCGGGGGGATCGAGCGGGGGAGGGGGGGGGAGTGTGCGAGATTCGCAAGTTTCGACCTGAACTCGAACACTAGTCTACAAATCGAAGTCTAGTGTGCTACTACTAGTGAAAACTAAGGGAGGTGAACATGAGCCGGCCCTGAACACGGGAGGGGGAGCGGGGAGAACAGTGGCGCCTATGCGCCCGCACCCCTCTCGGGCCAGTTCAGGGCCGGTTTGGGGGACCTCTGGGGCGAGGTGGAGAGCTCATGAGAACCGGCCCTGAACACGGGAGGGTGAGGGCGTTCGCGCCGTACCCACAGTGCGACTTTAGGGCTGGTCCGCGAGACTCATACGCTGCCGGAGAGGTGTGACTTCAGGGCTGGTCTGTGCGACTTGTGGTCGCCCCTACGACCCGACTTAAGGGCCGGGTCTGCTTACGCGCCCTCACGGATGACTTTAGGGGAGGTCCCCTCGAGTAGACCCTTTGCGCCAGACTTTAGGGCTGGGGGGAGATGGAACTACCACCTACGACGCGACTTTAGGGCCAGTGCGAGGCACAGCACCAACACCACCCGACTGCTGGTCAAAGGCCCAACAGTAAGCCTTTGAAGCAAAGGGTCAGTCCGTGTTCTCCCCCTTACAGTAGGAAAGGTGACCCGGTAGGTCGGGCCGTGCACTGGAGCAGCCAGGCGTGGGCGGACCCGGCCATTTTCGAAAATGCGCACTCTCTTCCGAGGAGCCCCCGGGGGGCCCGGGACTCGATGGGGACCTATTCAGGTGCTTGAGGGGAGTCTATAACGCCCGCCCCGAGGCTGGGTTTCATGGGGGGGAGCAGGAGGAAGGGGTGGTATTCACTTGCACTACTACTACTACACTAGTCTAAGGGTTACTACTACTACTAAGGTGATATGCTCTACATTAGGGCTGGTCTGTGCGACTTGCCCTCGCGCACACGAGTTTAGGGCCGGGTTTTGTGACCCAACTTTAGGGCCAACCTTGGGGAGCTTTAGGGCAGGCTACCCTAACCCTAGCACATGACTGTGTTTAGGGCCGGTCTTTGTGCACACAGTCACGTGATGCTCCCCGCCACTTCGCATGTCCCTGGCCAGACCGTCGACTGAGTAGGCGAGGAGCAAAGAGAAATGGCGCTTGAAGGTTAGGGGATCGGAGTTTAAAACGAGCCTTGCTGGCAATACGTGGACTAAATCCCGGTTCCTCACCTCCACCACACATTGTCAAAAAAAGCAGTTCTCAGCTCAGGTCCACGAACACAACAATCAAGCTAGCTATGCCCACTCCTTATATACCTGTGAAATTTCAACATTCAACGTCAATGTTCAGTGCTCAGCGCTGCAGCAGTGGCTCCGTCCTCTTCCTTACCTTCAAGAATGTTGACACCGTTGACACCGCCTGTCGAATCAAACGACCTTGGTTGTCGCAGACCCTCCATGGTTCGTCCAGGCTCGTCACGCTGTTCCTTCTTGAATAAAAATAACGCGTGTCATTCAGCACCAATTAACGGAATGGATCGGTTGATTACCCTCAGCAAAGCTTCGCCTGTACTGAAAGAACACCATTTTCATCACTCGATGCAGCCAATTCGACATTCAATTTTTTGACCAATGGGTAGACACCAATCCCACTCGTATGCTTTCGTTAATTGCCTCGGCTGCTGCATACTTATATTCTCTCTTTATCGACAGACAGCCTCCCATTTCCTGCCCCTGTCATTTCTGCAACTCTGCCTACCGTTGTCTAGCGCGTAGACCTGCCTAGATGTGGATATCCTTGACCTAGCGTCTTCCTTGGAGGTGAATCCTTGCCTGACTCACATTCTAATTCCCCTCTGCCCCAACCATGTTTACCCCGACGTTTGTCACTAATATTAGTTGGCACCGTTCAACACTGGCACGGTCGGGTTCAACCTCTGCTGATATCAAGATCGCATTTTCGATGGCCGACTATAGGCATACCAAGCATCTACTGGATGTAGAATAGAGCTCCGTGGGTAGGGGTTGAAAAGATCGGTAAGTCCTGATTTCGTCGACTCCTCCTTGCTCACTCAACTCCCAGAATGGTCCTCAACCACTTAGCACAACACTTAATCCCTTTCTCAAGGCGAACCGCGAAACTATCCTGCATTCCAACACTGCCGTATGTGTCCTTGGGAGCCACAAATCCCAGACTAAGGCCGACTTTGCAATTAATTTGCTTTTTACACTTTGCCAGCTCTCAAACCTTCCTTATTCAAATCTCTTTGTCCACGAAGGCGCCTAGATAGAGGTCGACTGATAACATTCATACTGCGTCCAAGATTGCTGTAAAGTGGATGGAGGCAAGAGGGATCCCAGTACGTTCTCCTCGACTATCTCGAACACCCGATTTCTCATCCACGCTCTCTCAGCGTTCATCTTACCACGTTTCAAGACGCGCCACACACCTGCCGCATTCAGATGCGCACCTCTCAACACTACCTCTTCAAGTTGTCTCGGTGCACCGCCGATGTATTGACATGCCCCTGTCCTGTCAAGAAAGCACAAGCACCGCAGCTCCGAGAGAACTAAAGTTAATTTTGCGTGCGTAGCAGTGCTGGTGACAGGCCCGCCTTGCTGGAGTCCAGAAGAGCTAGAGAGTGACTCATGGCAGTTCTAGCGACACCATGCGGGCTGGAGGAAGGAGTTGTACTCCATGTAAGGACCTACCTGCCCGTCCTAGTCTTGAAACACTTCCCTTCGATCACACGCAATGTTCGGAAGGAGCGTGCCATATAGGCTACTAATGCCCTGTGGTCTTCCTGCGAGAACAAGTCTACATACGTCGTTTTAGTTTCTTCTACATACGTCGTTTTAGTTTCTTCTACATACGTCGTTTTAGTTTCTTCTACATGCTGTAGTTCGTTGTTCATCCTTTGTTCCATAGTTCACCTTGGCACACTCTTCTGCATCTCTTACAGAGACTGTCTTCCACGTTCGTGCGGGATGTCTTATTTACCGTCATCTCTTATCATATTCCAACTACAATGGACGGGCCAACCTTTACGCTCTTAAACTTGCTTCGAATTCTCGGTCGAGCTTCCTCTCTATGCTCCAGCCGTTCCCTCACACCCTCACAACTCAGATTATGACCTAATTGGCTACTAGTCCGCACCACCTTGCATTGTTCCTGTGGCCATTCTGACGTCCTTCACCGCCCAAATGCATATCAACGGACCCACTTGTCAGGCGTCTTCTGGAAACTCTCATTTAGAAGATGCGAGGCCGTAATGTTGGAACATGTTGTTGGAACGTCAGTTATGGTAGCAGGAAGCGGACCATGCTACACGCTACGCTACCCCTATCTGTGGCACTTTACTGGCGCAGTTGCCTTATTTATATAACCGACTGTGTGCTGTTTGCTTCCGCAAGATCTTGGCATATGCCAATGCAATGTAAAGTGGCAAAAGACTGACCCAGGAGGGTCATGCGGTCTATGGGGGTACTTTGCTTCATAGCTTCGCTACCCGTCTAATGTTACGATCATCAAGGCCAATCGTATGTGGGTCCTTTCGTGTGTAGACACAGGTTCAGGGCCAGAAGGAGCGTAGGTTATATTGGCTCTCTGTTTAGCGATTCTAACACGTTGAAGTAGCTTGATGGTCTATATCCATGCTAGGTGTGAACACATTGTAGCACCGCCCGCAGGGGCTGGGAAACGCTATTCATCATCGAGAAGATTGGACGCTTGTCGCCAAAATTACCTGAGAATCGCCTCGCTGCCTGTTTGCTTGGATGGCTTCCTGCACCCTACCATACCTTTATATCCAACGGAGTTCATGTGATGGCATTGCACACTTATCACACCCTGTTATTCAATTGTATGTGTACAGCAGCCCAATTATGTGGCAAAGTAAAGATCACCATCAAATGTTTCGATGGACGTGATGAGTCTGGTCATGAACAGAACGCTCCCCTCAATTATGGAAGACCTCCCGACGATGAGGGCTTCTACGCTTTGGAGACCCTGACTTCTTGGCACTGGAAGGGGAGCGGCTCTTCTTGCTGGTAGATCTGCGTGGGCTAGGAGACTTCTTACCAGAGGCACTAGGGCTGTTAGACTTAGGGAATTTATTGGGTGTATCCCAAACGGTCTGCAAGTCCCTTTCAATCTTCTCCTTGTCATCTGTGAAGCCCTGGAGGTTGTGAGGGTTAATAATGATGAACAATACAGAGCTGGTTGGACCTTAGTACTTACAGCCTGACCCCGGTCCCAGTAAAGCTCCCAGTCGATAAATTGTATCTTAGAGCCATCTACGACGATCTAAAGCACACTGTCAGTACTTGAAGCGGAGAATATTGTAAGCAATTTCTTCATACATTGCTCATATTCAGATCCCTAACAGCAGCAATATTGATTTCAGTAAGTCGGTGTAAGGAGAAGCCAAAGGCGTACATGTGGTACATGTTCTTGGACTTTGCAATAGCAGCTGCTGCTGCTGCAACTTTTGGCTTCCACTCACTCATGAATCTCTTCCACTTCTCGCGGTCCGGGGTCAAATCTTCCGCCATCTTGGCCAACATTTTCCCTCTTACTTCCTTCATGACCAGGACTCTGGCTGCTGGGTCAGAGGCAATAAGCTGTCCAAGAGCATCCAGAGTGCGAACTTCATGGCCGATCTTGGCTGTTTTACTGCTGTCTCCTTGAGGACATACCCTGGGCTGGCTTTACCGTTCCAATTCTCTACATTTATATTTTAGGCATCAGTGGTTATTTTCATAGAGAATTTAAGAGACAGCTTACTGAGACGCCAAACTGTTGACTTGCCGTGGTCTGGTGGACTTAGCTGTTCACCTAGCTCTGCCACATTGCCATCAATGTTGATAGTCTTGGAGGCACGAGTCGCACGGCGATCAAGCGCCGTGTAGTCCAACTGGAGGGGTATAACATAGGCAGTTGTTGAAGCACTAATGGAGACGAGCAAAATGGCGAGATATCGCAGAGAGAAGAAATGGCAAATTGTGCGCATGATGACCTTGTAGGAGGTTGCAGAGAAAGAAGAGGGGATGTATGAGAGCTCAAATCTAGAGGACCAGCCTGAGGAAACGAGTCGAGAGGAAGATCCTATATTCATAATTTTTTGATGCAATGGCCCCCGGGCACTAGCGGTCGTCGATATCCTGGAAATGAAGTTTTCGTAAGACAACAAACACCTTTTAGCACCCACAAAGAAGGTTGGATCAGCCGAACTGTCAATTCGTCAGATTTCAACTGCAAGGCAGGTATCAAGATGTGCCTTACTTCTGAGAGCATCTTTCCTCTACCATCTTGAAAATATATTGGACCTTCCCGAGTCCCGACGGAGTCTTCGGGTATCGGACGTCGCCTTCGAGATGTGTTCAACTCTTACCCGATTTTTAGCAATCACATCTCAAAGCCTGGGTAAATCTTGACACTGCCGAGGCCTCGGATGAAGGTCCAAAAGGGACAAAGATAAAAATCGCCGTTTTGGCGCCCACATTTGGCGCCCACAGGGATGACGATTTGAACATCTAAACACGCCGACAGCAATGACGGGAAGATGGTGATTGATGATTGAAGATCATACACGGACAGAAAACCTCTACCGGCCGCAGGAATTCCGCATGGCGGTGTGCTCTAAATTTAAATTGTAGGACTAAGTAACACCGTTGTGATTGATGCGCCGAAACCGTCATCAAATTCTTGAATAACGACAACACAGCTCTGGCCACAGCCTTCAAAGTTCAACAGTTCACGAGGAAGGGCTTGTATTCAGGTCCGTTGACGAGAACGCATTAGCCAAAGTCAATATAACTGGTGCAGGACTACGTTTTGCCCACAAGATGCCCACTCCCCAACTGCCCCCAGAGTTGCTTTACGATATCATCAATCATCTGGGCGCCAAAGAAGACTACGCCTCATTACGTGCATGTGCTCTAACATGTAGAGCACTCGTTTCACCAATTCAGGCTCACATTTTCCGCACCTTAACTCTATCCCGCGACTCCCCTGTTTGGCTGGCCAAACTGGAATCTACACCTCATATTCGGACATTTATCAAGCATCTACGTTTGGTCGAGTATCACAAACCGTGGATCCAGCGCTCCGAGGTGCTGAATCATATGTTGGGATATCTGTCTTCATCTGTCATTTTCCTCGATATCCGCCACCAGAGACGCGAGCCAGGAAGCACCCGCTTCAATTTCCCTTTGTTGTCGCGGCTAAAATGCGTCAAAGAGATTTCGCTGACAGAGCTGGATCCG